TTACACAGGGCAAGTATCCTTAAATCAGAGTTGTATTTAGCTTCCACATACGTACTGGGGCAGGATGTTTTTATAGAAAGCAAAGGCTAACAAATTTTGGAATTAAAAACAAATCGATTTTTCATTTGAGGAACAAAAGTAAAGGAGGCGTAAAAAAGTTGAGAGAAAAGGAAATAGGATTTTTACATTTTTATTTAATTATTTTTATAATTTCTCTGTTCCAGATCTGCAAGAATGTAAACATTTTTACTACGATAACCGATTTTCACTTTATGATATCGAAAACAAATCAAAACCTAGAATATTTTTTTGTGAGGTACTGGAACAGAGCAAATATTATGGCCACTCCTTAAGGTGAGAATACATAAAACGCTTTTTTGGCTGGCTTAAGTCATCTGCTGGCTTCTTCGTATAGGAACAAAGAAGTTTTAAGTTAACTTAGTTCGATTTTGGCCCTACGCTCCTTTGTCATTTTCCGAAGAAGCCAGTCGAAAAAGCGTTTTATGTATTCTCACCTTTACATCTTTTCTTTATAGTCCACTTTTGTTATCTCTTACTTGAGGAAAGGTAAAGGACAAGGGTGAGAATACATAAAACGCTTTTTTGACTGGCCTAAATCATCTGCTGGCTTTTTCGTAGAGGAACAAAGGAGTTTTAGGTTGACTTAGTTCGATTTTGTACTTGGTCTTTGTTCTTTTCTGAAGAAGCCAGCCGATGACTTAATAAATAAATAAATATTTTTGAAAAAAAAAATAATTTTCCCAAGCTTTAATGCATCTACCTGTGTTCTTCTACCATATTTGGAACGAAGAAACTACATTCCTACATGTGTAGTTAGTTAATTTTTTAGAAAAGGAACAAGAAACAATATTAACAATATTTTGTACAAAATATAGTTCGAAAGTCCAGTAAATGAGAGCGAGTAAAGACAGCCATTTTGACATTAAATTACAGAGAATTTGCAAAATTTTACTGGCAAAATTTACTTAGCAAGAGTTATCCAGTAAAATCAGCTGATTGGATTGTTTTATAGAAGTCGTGTGATATTGAAAAACACATAGCGCGCTCATTATGTTTTGGCCTTTAAAGCGTGAACAGAAAGAGCACGTTAAATAATTGGTATCTTACCGAACTTTCAAGAATCTACTAGTTTTGCAATTTTTTTTCGATATCATAAGGGGAAAATCGGTTATCGTAGTAAAATCATGGTACAAAAAGGAGGTAGGACAGCTGAAACCATAGAAATACAGCCCAATTTATTTATTCAATTCTTTCTTCGACTTTTTCCTCTTTTTTACAATAAGTTGTCTTTCTAAAATATGATCTAAACTATTCTATCTTTCAATTCCATGGCAAAACTTGTGAATAGCTTTAATGCGCGTCCCGCAATTTACGTTTCTTCCAATCATTAATTTCGAAAATATTTTGTTATTGTTTTTCAAAACAATAAATACATACATAAAACTGACAGAAGTCGGACACACTTAGAAAAAAAATTTAATCAACTGGTAGCTCTACCTTACCTTTTTATTGTATCATTGGTAGAATTAAGAAAGTAAAGTCATGCAATGATACATGCATATTTTTTTCAAAAATATTCATTTGACAACACCTCATTGTAAAAATGTACACTTGTAAATCCATTGTACATTGCCAAATAGAAACCTTCTTAATCTTCTTAATTTTACCATGGTAAACATTTTTACATTCTTGCCTTTCTGGAACATACCAAATATTTGTAAAATAAAATCCACAGGGAGACGGGTTTAGCGATACTGAACGTCTCCCTGTGGTTTTTGCTTTTTCGATAATATTTGACAAATGAAAGGGCTTAACGCTCTCATTCTGGTTTGGTGCAAAAACAGCAATTAGCAAAGTGTGCCACAACAATTTCCCAAAATTATAAATAAATATTTAATGCAAAAATTTTATGAACTGAAATATTTCTGCCCTGTCAAGCTTAACACAATTTCTGGTAAAATAATAAAAAAAACAGTCATAATTAGCAATCAGCTTTAAAGTAACTGTTTTTTTATTATTTTACCAGAAATTGCATTAAAATATCCATTTATAAGTTGGGAAATTGTTGTGGCAAAGTTTGGATCAATTAGACAACCATCATTTAGAAAATATATATACATTTACAAAGTTTACTGTTATAAACAAAATAGAATATTGGTAATCGAATGATTTTTGCAATCTCGCGTAATTAAATTATAGTTTTTCTTTTATTTAAAATGAAATAAGTACCACATTTCCACAGTCATTCGCTTATGCAGCAATACTTTGTCAGTCTAAACACCACAACTAATCTACTAAGTTGGCAACATTGTGTTAATATAAACATGTACGCGTTGCCACTGTCGCCTTTGATATGCCTACAATAACAGTGTTACCACTATCTGCAAGCATGGTAATATCGATAACAAAATATCAATTGGCTGGTTATCGATGTGTGTTGTCATGTATTGAGGTCATCTATAAAATTTGTTGTTAAAAAGATATGAAAGAAAAGGAAACACAATTGCAAAAACAAAGAAGCACAATTTAAGGAACAACATACGAAAATGTGTGCATAATTTTCTGCTTGGCGTAACAATTTGATTACTAAAGACCAATCAAAATGATGATGTTGACATTTTCATATATATTGTTAGAGAGATGCCATATCGCGTCAAAAGCAATGAAGATGGTACCACTAAATCAAATTTTATGTTTACATAAAAAAATGTAAGTATTGCAATCGGGATAAATTTACCACATTTTATAAATATATTGTTGACATTTTAATTATTTACAGCATTGCTCAAAACCGTGTGCTAGTAAAAATTGCATTTTCTTTATATTTATCCTTTCATTATAATTATTTTTAACTTGGATGTTGTCAAAAATTATTAATGAAGAGAATTTTTATAAAAATATATATAAATTATGTTTTAACACTGTTTTTTGGTGATTTAAAAAGAAAAACTAAGTGAGGTCTTGTTTTTGAGCAGCGCTGATTAATGCAACCCAACGCGAAAGTAATGTGTCAGCAAAATAACGCAAACATTTAATTTTTACCCTTTTTTGCAGAACAACAAAACAAATTTTTAAGGTATATTAATATAAAATATGTATTATAATTAAATATTTTTAAATCAATGCCTTAAATAAATTGCTACCGTCACATGGATTTATAGCTCATGGTACAATTACAAAGGTAATTCCATGCAATCACACGATTTCAGTTATTTATTCGATGTCCTTTCATTATCTAATTTATAACACGTTTTTCTTCCTGGTTATGGGCGTACAACTGGAAAGAAAGAAAACAGAAAAGAAAGAAAAAAGAAAAGGAAGAAAAAAACATTCATTTCCGATCAAATATTTCGTGTCTTTTAAGTTTTTTTTAACCCTCTGTAAATGTAAACCTGCTGCAGCTAGGGCAAGTATGAAGATCAACAATACCGCGATTTAATTTGCTATAATATTGGAAGAAAAATAGAAAATATTTTTTTTTAAATTTTATTGAAAGAAAACAAAAAAATCAAATTTTAGAATAAGTTTAGATTTGTTCGAATTCGCCACCTTTGGCACGAATTATGGCTGTAATACACCCTCCAGAATATTTTCGCCATAATATTCGGCATTTATTTTGATGCCACGGTCGATTAATATGAGTGGAGAGCGACCATCGGCTGTTATGGCTGCCCATACCATCACATGGCCGGCGCTTGAGTTCTGGTGGCCAACCGAAGGTGCACATTTTCAGCTGACCGCTTTGGCAAATAAACAAGATCATTTTGTTTGTCTATAAACTGCTTGACAATGAATGTTTTCTCATGGGAGAAAACCAAATTCGGCAGTTCACCAATTTCGGCCAAGCGAAGCAACTCTTCCGCTCTTTTGAGTCTGTTTTCTTTCCGTTGCGGCGTAAGTTCTTGCACTTTTTGGAATTTCAATGGCTTTACGCTGAGCTCATTTTTCAATATTTGCCGAGATTTAGGTACAAAAAGACTGACTTAAAATTAAAACAAACAATAGATTATTTTTAATTTTTGAAAAAATATTCCACAGGTCACACGTAAATATTTTATGTATGAAATTTTTTTATTTGCAAAATGGCAAGGTCGAGTTTAAATTAATTAATTAAAAACACGTTCCTATCTCTGATATGTAATGGCTTTGTAAATAAACGTTTTGACAATGAGATGTTAAATAAATAAATTTGAAATTGTGAACATACGATTGATTGCATGACTTTACTTTCTTAATTCTTTGTTTATGCTGTTCCTTTTGTTGCTGGGAAGCACTCAATTGTTTTTTTTTTTTTTTCTTTGTTCTTAATGTCAAAAATGAGGTAGTAAAATACAGCTCTGATTTCAGACGATGTGTCTTGTTTAAAGAATACTGGATTTTGAAATGAAAATTGTATAAAATTAATGTGAAGACACATAAGATGAAAGGCTGCACCCTTAATATACATTCATGGTCGTGGAATAATATTTATTTAATATCTTCTTTAAAACCCCCAAAGATTGGAAACAAAAACAACCCATTAAAAATATATATGGCATTTATTTGACGATAATTCGAATATCTAGTACAATTAAAACAAGTTGTGTTGTGTAAAATTATTTAATAAAGTGTTTTATTTGTCCCAAATCTGCATATATTTCTCCATGCAATTGAAATGATTCAATTATTGCCAACCTCGTGATTTATTCCTTTCATTGGAAAAATGAAGCCGATTGGCAACTCTGCACATGTTTCCCCATGGCGACTTTGACACATCATTGCCACTTCTTTTGTCTATTTTCATACAGAAATATATCAGAATTGCCTTCAGTTGGGCAACCCTTGTGAAATTTATCAAAAATAATCGAAATTTTCCTAGTCACTCAAAATGAAATCGATAAAACCTTAGCACATTTTGTGCTTCTTCTTCATGTTTTTGCCACTTGATTGGCAACAAAGATCATTGTTTAACGCAATACGGCAACCATTTTCCCCCTGAGAAATGTCATTTTAATTGTCAAATGTGTCGGTGTATACCTAAAGAACAGTCGATAATTTTTTCGCAATCGGAGTGTTTTTAGAGAAAAATCACATAAAATTTCCATAGCTGCTGTCAAAGAGTGTGAAAAGCGGAAAAACTAATAAAAAACACGAACAAATTTCATTGCATAGTTTGTTTACATCAGCAGCGGACAAAGTGTTCGAATAAAACAAAACTAACGCCGCCACTCCAGTGGCAAATGTGTGTCTCTGTGCAACGGTGAAAAAGAAGTTTTCGTTTGGCGAACGCGTTGTACCCTACCCTGTTATTGGCTGGTGTTGTGGGCTACACATAGGGGTTGTTGCGGGTGTTATTTAATCAAAAAGATTTAATTGTTAATTACAATTGTTGTTTGTATTCCAACAATATGCAAGCCAAGGAACAGAACATCCAGGCCAGTGCCCGCCTGTGTGAGGCCATTAAATGGCATCCCTGTTTGTATGACACCAAATCGAAGGTGTATCAAATGAAACATGCAGTCGATGCTGCCTGGCGTTCAATTGCCAATGAGTGCGAAGATACAGGTAAACAACAATAACAGGGAATAATTATGTTTCTAACATTTTGGTTTTGTTAAGCATGTTTTACATTGCTGAGCTTGTTTTTGTTGTTTTTCTTGTTGTTTGTTATGAAAATTCCTGCAATGTTTTGTTGGGCCGCTGTGTGTGCGAAATGATGGGTTTATTAGCTGTAGTTTAACGAAGTAGTGACTTTCAAACTGTAGTCGAAACAGTTGTTATGGTTAGCAGTGTTTACAAAACTGTTTCGATAACAAATGTAAAACAGATAACGACGAATTAATTTAATTTTTCTTAAACCGAATAATAAACTAGAAGGAAATTGAAATGGAAGTAAATTTTAATTAAAAGAGTCGAGGAAGGACATCAATCCATGAAAAATATAAAATGTTTTCTATTTATAAAATCATCTGTTCTATTAGAGATAAATAGTTTAGATCCTTATTTATACCATTTCTATGTAGACCCCTTAGACCAGAATCCAGTCTATGATCTACTCTTTTATCCAGAATCTCGTCTAGGATAGACTCCCTGCCCCTGCAGCTCGTCTATGACAGACTCCCTGCCCCTGCAGCTCGTCTATGATAGACTCCCTGCCACTGCCACTCCCTGCCACTGCAGCTCGTCTATGATAGACTCCCTGCCACTGCAGCTCGTCTATGATGGACTCCCTGCCACTGCAGCTCGTCTATGATAGACTCCCTTCCACTGCAGCTCGTCTATGATAGAATCCCTGCCCCTGCAGCTCGTCTATGATATACGACCTTCCACTGCAGCTCGTCTATGACAGACTCTCTGGCCCGCCAGCTCGTCTATGATAGACTCCCTGCACCTGCAACTCGTCTATGATAGACAATCTGGCCCGCCACCTCGTCTATGACAGACTTTCTGGCCCGCCAGCTCGTCTATTTTAGACTCTCTGGCCTACCAGCTTGCCTATGATGGCCCCTCTTTCCCACCAGCTCGTCTATGGTAGACTCTCTGGGCCACAAGCTCGTCTATCTTTCAGATAGTCTACTATAGGCCCAAGGCCCCGAACTTACTCTCATCTATGTACCCTCCAAATTATTCTTTAGTACCTTAAAAATATTATTTAATTTTTTTCTTAAAAACTTAAATAATTTTTCAATTAAATTTTTATTTTTTTTTCCTTCTCTCCCGAACAGTGGCCAACTGTAAATTCCGCTGGCGCATAATTCGCAAATCCTTTGCCATTACATATCGCGGACATGGCAACAAAAATAAACATTATCTCCAGGATTATTTGGAATTTTTGGTGCCACATGTGGCAAGTATTGACATCCATGATGGTAGCCTAAAGAAACCAGATCCCAAGAAGTCGACGGCTCCAACAGAAGTCGAAGAAACGCAACAACAACAGCAGTCGCAGTCACAGCAAGAAGAACCCGATGAGGATGGCCTCGAAGAAGAATATGAAATATTTGATGATATTGAAAATGAGAATGACGATGATGAAGATTTTGAACAAGAAGAGGAGGAACATCATGAATTGGACGAAGTGGATGGAGAGTTTCGGCCACGTCGAGGCGGCGGAGCTAACAAACGTAAAAGGCAACGTCAAATGGATGAGGATGGTGAAAGTGATACCACCAGTGCCGATGAAACGCTGAAGGAAAAGGCAGGCGAAAGAATTACAAGGCGCCGAAAGTTGGCCACCAAACCGGTGGATACCAATGACGGTGATGAGGAGGCAGATGATCAACATGGCGATACCGATGAAGGCCCCACACGCGGCAGACGTATTGTGCGCATGCGTAAGGTCACGAAGAGATTTTTGGAATCTGGTCTATGTGATGGCCGCAAAAAGGATAAGGCGGACGAGAAACGTCCTCGTCTCTCAATGGAAAGAGGCAAGAAATCCACCCCCTCAGCAAGTCCCACTGCCGAGGAGTTTGATAAACGCAAATCCGTGGGAAATATACCAGCAAAACGGGTCGAAGTGAAATTGATTAAAACAAAACTTAATGAATCCACAGCCACGGCACCGACTGCTCCCTCTTCTTCGGCGTCGGAAACCAACAAGAAATTACGAACAGACAACGTAGAAAAGCCGGGCTTAAAAATTGCAATACCAGAAAAAATACGTCCCGTCATAACCCGGCCCGACAAACAGCCGGGTAATTTAATAAAAGTCATCAATGCTCCGGTGACGACCTCCGCCCCAGAAAAACCCCTAACTCTGACACAAGAAGGCGGGACCTATAAGAAATTAGTTAATCGCACCACCCAATGTGACAACGAACATCCCAAGACTTTGGATCAACAATTCCTCGATAGCATTTTGCCACAAATGGAGTACATGAATGGACGTCAGAAATTCAATTTCAAAAAGAAAGTCTTTTCCGCCCTCATGGAGGTATTCGATGATCCCAGTAATTTTCCCAATCGTGAGGATGTGCCCGAACCGCCAGCAGGGGCTGGGGCTTTGCGTTATCAAAACACCACAACCGCGGAGTTGCGTTTGATACGAGAACTGGTTAATTTGATACAGGCCGCAAAAACAACGCCCGAATTAATGGAGGGGGGAAGTAGCGGAAACAATTTGGTCAAAGAAAAATCTCCTGATCTCACAGGAACTTTCGGGGATGAGCAAAAATATGATTCGAATGATCTCAAAATGGGTAAAATGCAAAATTCAAATCGTTCTGAGTCATTGGGTCTGCCGCGGCATATTCTGCAAAAAGTGGTTAAGGTGGCCGGTACTACGGGCGGTACAATACTCAGCCATGAGGGAGATAAGAGGCGAGTCTATCGCATATATCCCAAGGGTATGCTGCCCAACTCTCCGGGAAATAATAGCAGTAATGCTAATGCCGGTACAACCCCCATTGGGACATTTTATGTGACTCCGCCCAAAACTACCACCCCTCAGCAAACAAATACCACCCAAACAAAAGCTGCTGCAGCCCAGAGCATGACCAGCTCAAGCACCAAACCCATTGTGTTTAATGGAAAAATTGTAAATCACATGACCACATCAGCGGCAGCAGCCGCAGGCGGCACCACTTCGACCAGCACACAAGTGGTATCCAACAACACCAAAGGTAGCCAACGGATTGCTCTACGCACCTCCCAGGGTCTGGTCATACAGAAACGTGTTTCTTCGGGCACCACAACAGCGGTACAAAACAAAAACATTACATCCAGCAACAGCAACAAATCGACTCCAACTTCAACGCGTAGCGGTGGTGGCCAAACGGCCGGTCTTTCACAGATACAAATTTCCCAGCCCATAAGTTTAAACGCTGCCGCAAATTCCAACAACAGCAATGTGAAATCTTATTTGGAATCAAGTTCACCGGCTGGGGGAGATGTCAAAAACAAAGTGACCGGAGAATCCTCACCCAACACCATACTACCCGATGGCGGCATGGTCGATGAAGATGATGCCAATGGCCAGACCATAACCGGTGATGGTTTTGATCCGCTGTACATTAAGTCGGTCATTAAAGATGAACCTGCGGAATGAAACCGCCGCCATTTACATTTTTAAGACTTTATTTTATTTCAACGTAAAGCGACATTTTTCTTAATTTTTTTCTAGGCTAAGATCTTTTTAAAAGACCCAAAAGACCTTCGAAGAGGAAGACAAGTTTTTTTTTCTATTTTTAATTTCAATTTACTTTTAATAAAATTTAATCGTTATCACGTACTTTATTGTATATAGTTTTAATAAAACTATAAATCGCTCCAAAAAAAAAAAATAAATGTTTTGGAAATATTTCTCATTTAATCAAAATAAAATAATGAACGCTTTACGCAAAGTTACGTATTAATATTTTCGAGATGTTGTCGTCTTTTATTGAGAGAAAATTCTGTGGGGATTGCTTTCAAAATTGTTGGGTAAGTGGTCGCAATGGATATTCTTTTTTTTTTTTTTTTTTGAGGTCTTTTTTTTAATTCATTTAAAGTAAAAAAAAAAAAATATTAAAAGAGATCATATTTCAATGACAAAGCCAAACTCGAACTCTTGTATAATTTAAAGTATTTCTAGACATTAATATTTTGAATGCATTACTTTACTTTTTTTACCCTTTGTAGCCTATTTGGAATACTTTTTACAAGTTTTTCGCAAAAGCCAGGTTCATTTTTTTCCATTCCTTTTTCAAATTTTCTTTGCAAGATATGGTATGCTGGTCGATTTTTCCATCGAGATAGCTCCATAAATTCTTTATGGGATTTATGTCTTGACTCTGGGCTGGTGTATCCATGACGTGAGGACAATTATATAGCAGCCATGACTGCACTTTATAAGCCAGAGTCTCAGATAATTGTCTTGATAAAAACTACCATTGGAACAAATTTGGCAATTTTCAAAAAAAAAAAATAAAATCCGTTAAAAATGTTGTTAAAATCTAAAAAAAACTCCGAATGTAGCCGTTATATTAGGGTCTATACGACGATGTGGACCTGCATCATCAAAATTATCAAAATACCGAATATAGGGAGGTACCGTAGTTGGGGGCTATACCAAAACGTGGACCTGCACAGACAATTTTCTGTCTAAGGCTGTAGTATTCATTACGAACATCGAATACCAAATTGGAAACAATTCCGGTGAATAATATCGCTAAAATCATCAAAATACCGAATATAGGGAGGTACTATTATATGGGGGCTATACCAAAACTTGGACCTGCACAGACAATTTTCTGCGATAGGCTGTGGTGTCCATTTCGAACTTCAAATACCAAATTTGAAAGAAATCCGATGAATAACATCGCTAAAATCATTAAAATACCGAATATCGGGAGTTACCGTAATATGGGGGCTATACGAAGACGGGGGCTTGCACAGATAATTTTCTGTCATAGGCTGTAGTATTCATTACGAACATCGAATATCAAATTTGAAACAATTCCGGTAAATAATACCGCTAAAATCATCAAAATACCGAATATAGGGAGGTACCGTTATATGGGGGGGCTATACCAAAACGTGGACCTGCACAGACACTTTTCTGTCTAAGGCTAAGGTATCCATTACGAACTTCAAATACTAAATTTGAAACGATTCCAGTGAATAATATCGCTAAAATCATCAAAATGGCAAATATCGGGAGGCACCGTTATATGGGGACTATACCAAAACGTGAACCTACATGGCCCATTTTCAAAAACAAAATTCCTGCAGACATAATACACATTGGAGTCAAATTTTATCAATCTACTTCTTTTCGTTCGGAAGCTAGAGTGATTTCCACAGACGGACGGACATCGCTAAATCGACATAGAATTTTATGCTGATCAACATGATATATACTTTGTGGAGTCTAAAATGTATGTTTCGAGGTGTTACAAACGGAATGACAAACTTAATATACCCTCCATACTATGGTGGAGGGTATAATAACAATCTTCGCTAAGGCCGAGCTTTTCCTTACAGAGTGGTAAACTTTCTGTAAAAATGTTAAGGATCCATAATACCCTCAATAAAATGCAATACAGCAGGTCCAGAGACTGAAAATGTACCCCCCACCATTACTGACCCACCACCGAGCTTCACTGTAGGCTTCATATTTTTGGCAAGGAGCGCTTAATTTGACTTTCTCCATACATAAGGTCTGCCATCTGAACCAAAAAGGTTGAATTTGCTCTCGTCCAGAAACAGCACATTCTTCCAAAATGAAAAATCCTTTGATACGTGCTCCTCGCTAAATGCAATTTTTGCGAGCTTCGGTGCACTCAAGAACATTTTGATCTACCGTAAAATATACTTCTCATAACTTAAGGTAGATATTTTATTATTTGCCGTCTTTTGACTTAGATTGGATGTGTAGAATCATCCAGATAGATCGGCTTCTATTAACAATCTCAGATATCTCACTTAGCGATTTATGGTTTTTATAATGTTTAATTAATAAATTTCTCAATTCAACAGTGGTTTGTCCTCTTTACGTCTGTAAATTACACAACACGTGGAAATTTGTGATAAATTAGCTTTTGGGGACTTCCCCAAATACATTTTCCAACAATCGGGTGAAGTTGGCCGCAGTTCGAAACAGGGTTGCGTATAAATATAAGCTCTACGAGTTTAACTTTTGCATAGCAATTTGGTGAGTTTTAGAATAAATGCCATTACTTTGTTAAATAAATGGGCGGCTTAAGTCATCGGCTGGCTTCCTCGTAGATGTTCAGTCTATAACTTAAGCCAGTCAGATAAGCGCTTTATGTATTTCCAACTTAAACTTTTGTTCTACGGCAAGTTTCTAGGTTTCTTCTGGTAGTAAATTTGATAAAAATCATATCTTGCATGAATGAAAATTGTTTGCTAAGAGTACGTGTATCGCTTGGAGCTACTGTATGATGTTGTTAGCTACAAGCAATAACAGTGTTGTATTTTCACGCCGAAATCATGATTTAAGATTTGGGGTATTTTATATAAATTTTTGACAATATCTAGCAATCCTTTGATTTCGATAAACACATAAAGTTAAGTTAATGTCACCTCAACATATGGCAACTATATTCATATATACATTGTCATTGACAACACTCAACGTTCTGATCTGAGTGTAGATTCTTGTTCTAGAAAAACAAAAATATTTTCTCTAAAACAAAATATTTGACATTTGCTTCCGTTAAAAAAGTTTTCATTCCACATTTTTCATAGAACGATAATTTAGATCGTGTAGTGGGATACCATGGTAGAATCAACGAGGTAAAGTCATGCAATTATATGCTTACAATTTGTTCAAAAATTATTCATTTGACAAACATCTCATTGTCAACATTTGTTTTTATAAATCCATTGTACATAAACAAATCAGACATGGGAAGCTGTTTTTATGTAGTGAAATGTGACTAGGTAAATTACAGAAAATGCAGAGATGGGTATGTTTTTTTGAAATGACTTTACCTTCTTAATTCTACCATGGATATTTAGAAATTATAAGAAAAATAAAAAAAAACTTTTCTTTAGCTGTACGAGTTTCGCTTGAAGCTACTGTATATCCTCTTAAGGGTGTATCTAAGCCATGGCTGCTCAAACCCGTGTGCTAGCACACGCAAAGAGTCCGCAAAAGAGAACACTTGAGAGAAAATTAGTATTAAATTTTGCTTGTATGATGAGCGAGTTCTTATTCTTGTACAGCCCTGATCTAAACACACCATGGTAGAAGAATACAGGTGGATGCATCAACGCTTAGAAACATTGATATGACAAAAAATTGTAAATATCTTTTAAAATATAAGTAGATTTTTATATGTTTTCTTATACGACGTCATTCGGAGGTTATTATAATGCGCGTTTTACAACAATTTTGTCAAATATAAATAATTTTTCATTCAAAATTTTTAATTCCAAAATTGATTTGACAGTTCATTGTACCAGCAGCTGTGTCGATGCGTCTATCTATATTTTTCTACAATGAAACACACGATTAGCCCACTAGGTTTATTAGATCTTCAACAGTACAAATGCTGTGTTTAAACGCGCGAGATTAACCCACTGGGTCTAATAAACCCAACCCACAGGCTTTCTCCTGCAATAGTATAAAAGGGCATTTATATTTTTTAAGTAGTCTGCAATTTTATTTAATAAAATCCTCAAAAAATATGCAAACACACAAATCTTTTAGCGTTGCTCTTTTTATCAGCCGTTTGGTAGTATCATTATTAGTTGTGTTCCAGTACTTTTTTAGTAGTAAAACTAGCAGAAGAGAGAACAGTACAAAATGCCATTCTCATTTAGGTGTGCTCAAAAAATAAGGGAACGGAAAATTAGCAGAAATGCGATAAAATTTCAACATTCATAATTCCAAAAGAAAACAGTCTAAATCGGACTGGTGAACCCTTACTGAAATGGACGCCAAAATTCAAAAAAATGGGTATTGAAAATAAGTTTAAATTAATAATTATTTTTGAATGCTGTTTATTTAGAAAGTTTTGTTTCAGAATGCGTTGAAAAGTATTTAGAGGTGGAGTTTTCTCAAATCCCAACCCCGGAGAAGCTGACATGGTTGGAGCCGCCGGTTTAATTAATGTTAAGTCTGCTAGAAGACTAAATGCCACAAGTTGGGAAGACAGCCGACCTAAAAAATAAAAAGAACATATTCAGTAATAAGCGAACATCATTGATTTTAAGCTTAATTTTTCAATTAACCTTTCATTAATTTTGCACTGTTTTCCAATACGTTTTCTTCGTCTGATTCCTCATTCAGGCAGTCCTCTTCACTCCTGGAATCATCCAAAAGTGAAGACATCAGTTGCTCCATATTTTCTCTTTTTGTTTTTTGCACGACAAATATTAGTTTGTCTTTAGTTTTTAAGTTTATCTTTTTTCTTTACATTTGTTGTGACGCGCGAACATTGAAATGTATCAATACATTTTTCAACCTTGCTAGCCCTACCAATTAAATGTCAAATTTACAACTTGCACATTTCTGCTCGGCCAAAACAAGCAGAAATGTGCACCACTCAGCGCCATTTTCTTCTCGAGGGAGCTGCAAGTTTTGCTAGTTTTTGGAGTACGGGAACGCGTTGTAGCAGAATTAGTACTAATTTGAAGGTTCTGGAACACAACTATTATTGACATGATTGTGATGTTTTTATTCAGTGTTGCTACTTTTCCGTTCTCCTACTTTTTGCACTATTTTTTTCTGTGTGAACATATAATCACAATTTTTGCCAGTTCTCTCAATTACTACTTTTATCTACCAAAAGAAAAACATATCGTATTCAGGTGATTTATCTGGCCTACTTTGTAAATTATTTTACCCGAATTTCCACTATTTTTTTACTTCCAGAATAGATCATTAAAATATATAAATATCCCTATATATTTATATTTCCCCTCACAATATACATAATTCAATTACCTTCATCAGCGCACAAATAATTATCGTCATTATCTAACTAAGAACCCATCATCAAATGATCAGTGAGTGCTTCACTAATCACAACCTCACAAGCTGGCAACACTTCTCAATGTTAACCAACCAACCAAAACACAAACGCATTGACTGGCTGACAATCCGTAATGTCAACTGTGTCATGTTGGTTTTGTTTTCATTTTTCAAATTTCAATCAGTCAGTTGTTCTCTTTGCTCTCTCACGGCCGCGGTAAATAAGGAAAGAGTGTGTGTGACTGGCTGGCTGGCAAATCTAAGATATTTTTATTTGTTTATAAAACAAATGCTGACGGCGTTGTGCTCTATATTAAAGTAATTAACGCGAAATACAACCCGAGCGTAGATGTTTGTGCGTGTGTGTGTGCGACTATCTTAAGAGGATAACTAAAAAGTGCGTGTTTGACTTAGGAGACACAGTTAAAAGAAATCAATTGGCCAGCTTTGCCTGCCTGCCTGCCTATTAGGAATTATGTGTGAGTGTGAAATTTATACAACAAAGTGAAAACATCCAAAAGACAATTGGTAGTACTTTCGTTGTTGTTGTTGCCCAGTCTGTGTGTGTGTTTGGTGTTAAAAATGAAGGATGGTCCCTGTATGAACGATGAACAATTCCAAAGTGGCATCAAACTATGTGAAGCCGTCCGACGGCATCCATGTCTCTACGATCCCCTGTCATCAGGTTATCAAATGAGAAATACGGTGAATGCGGCATGGAAGACCGTGGCCAAAGAATGCTCCGATACTGGTGAGTGAGTCCTAACAACAACAAAAAAATGTGAAAAGAAGAAAGTTGAGCAACAAAAAAATCTCAAAATGTAAACACAAGAATGGCTTAAATCGGAGAATGTCGAATTTTTATTAATAAAAAGTATTAAAGTAGTAGTATATTCCGCATTTGCATGTGTAGTGGTTTCATTCAGTTTTTTTTTTGCCAGATATTGTTGTTGGTGTTGTTGTAGCAATGACTTTTTCTTACAATTTGCTGCCGCCGTTCATCATAATTAGGTTGCTTTGGCATCAGAGCCTTTCAAACTTTGTCGCCATTTTACCCAGAGTTGTATCTGCGAGCAACAGATGTTTCCTTTTCTTGTTCTTCTTCTTTTGTGTAGAGAGTGCGGTTACTTAGTATTTGTGAAGAACTTGAATATTTGGTAATTGCAGCGCACGAATTTAAATGCTAAGTGGTCAGTTGGGAATGGTAACGAAGCCGACTGATATTTTTTTTGGCGACGTCGTTTTTTTTGTTACAAGTCAAGTGAAGGCGTTGCGTTGCTATTTTTGATGACTTTGAAATTTTAGCAAAGTAAGGATTAGTTTACACACTACATTTGGGCCATATGGCACGTTTACATACAAATTCAATCACAGCAACAAATTTGTCTATGAAAAACAAGTTTAGTAAAAAATTGTTCTATTTTTTTTTTAATTTTGGCATAGACTGATATGTATACACCTTGCCCCATTGTTCCGATTCGAGACCCGATTTAGATCTAAACCATATAGGGGCGATTTGGGGGTTATAATAACTAACCAATCCTAGTTTTTGGACACTGAAAACCCATTATGAGTATTCAAAAAAATAAGCTTTCAAAAACGTTTTCTACCCGGAATTTCGAGCCAAATATACGATTACGTAAATGAAATGGAAATATGGCAAAAAATAGAAAATGTGGCAACAATCATCAAAATAAAGAACATCGGGAGGTACCATAATGTGGAAGCTACACAAAAACGTAAGACTATCCATACAACTTTCTGTCACCGGAGCTAGAACCCATTATTACCTACATAAGCCAATTTTTAGAAAAAATCGTTGAAAAATGTGGCAAAATTAGTCAAAATACCAAATATCGGAAGGTACCATAATATGGGGGCTATACCAAAACGTAGACATATACATGAAACGATTCGCCACCGGAGCTAGACTCCATTACATACTACAAATACCAATTTTTTAGACAAATCCTTGGAAAAATGTGGCAAAAATCATCAATATAACGAATATCGGGAGGTACCTTTATATGGGGGCTATACCACAATGTAAGCCTGAACAGACAATTTTCTGTCTTTGGATGCAGTATTCATTACGAACTTCAAATACCAAATTTGAAACAATTCCGATGAATAATGTCGCTAAATTCATCAAAATACCGAATATCAGGAGGTACCGTTATATGGCGGCTACCCCAAAACGTGGACCTATACATACAATGTTTCGCCACCGAAGTTAGAATCCATTATGAACCACAAATACCAATTTTTAGACAAATCTGTGGGCAAATGTGGCAAAATTCATCAAAATAACTTTTATCGAGAGGTACCCTTATATGGCTACTATTTCAAAACGTGGACCGATATATCTTATTTGCAATGACGACCATCGCTGGCACAATACAAATTGTTCTGCCAAATTTTAGAGCTCTACGTCAAGTAATGTTGGCTTAATTATGAATTTTCTAACAGACAGATAGACGACCGATATCGTTAATTCGACTTAGAAGTATGCTTTATGGGGTCTACGACGAATATTTAGGGATGTTACAAACGGAATGACAAAATTAACATACCCTCCTTTTCAATAATTAGTTAGAGCCTAAAAGTATGTTACAAAAATGTCAAATATGAGCGTGAAAAAGCCACCGTGCATGAGGTATAAACTAACCTTTAATAAATATCTTGACAGTTTACCTCTTTCTTAAATATACATCATTTCATTCATATCTAGGAACATGACACTATAATTTTCAAGTAGGCCATAAAGGTGTAAGTACATAAAAAGCTTGAAGTCATGGCATATTTTTTTGGCTCGATAGTTTATTTCTTCGTCAAGAAGTAGTTGGTACCCGATATCCGAAGTATTCATGTACCAGTTGCTAAGGCTAGGCATATTAATGTCAAATAATAACGGAAAACGACGGCCGGGTTTTTGTGCGGCTCTGTAATCCCTTTATAAAATGTCAGAAAATATGCCTAGTCATGACTTCAAGCTTCTGATGTACTTACACCTTAAGAATCATCTGAACACAATTTTTCCACATGGACTTGTAAGTTTATTACTCTGTGCCAGAATCTACTAGTTTTGCAATTTTTTCCAATATCATAAAACGAAAATCACTTATCGTTGTAAAACCTTGTACGTTCTTGTAGTTCTGACACAGTAATTTTTGTATAATGGTGGGAACATGGTTCAACTATTTAAAACAATCTAACCATGGTAGAATAATATAGGTAGACGCGTCGACACAGCTGCTGGGACAATGAACTGTCAAACAAATTTTAGAATTGAAAATGTTAAATGAAAAATTATTTGAATTGCAAAAATTTTTGAAAACGCGAATTATAATATCTTCCTTCTGACGTAGTATAAGAAAACATATAAAAATCTACTTATATTTTAAAAAACGTTTCAATTTTTTGACATATCAATGCTCCCAAGCTTTGATGATCTACCTGTATTCTTCTGTCATGAATCTAACCTAGAATTAAGAAAGAAATAATACATACAAACAAAATCATCTGAATTTGACACCATAAGCTTTTTGTGAAATCCGTTATTTATTTTGCCGTCAAGACGATATTGGTGCAATGAACAAAGCATTTATATACCATTGCTTTGTAGCCGCGTTCGAAAATAAACAGTACACTAACATAGTGTACTGTACCGGTACAGTATCACTAAAAAAATTTTTAGCGGTAGTGTTCCGGTACACTACCACTAAAAAATATTTTAGTGATACTGTACCGGAACACAACGATGATCGTAGTGTACCGCAGTTGGAGCGCTAAAAAATCGTAGTGTACTGCAGTCGGAACACTAAAAAATCGGAACACTACGATTTCGTAGTGCTCCGACTGCGGAACACTACGTTTTTTATTGCTCCGACTGCGGTACAGTACGATTCTTGTTGTGCTCCGGTACAGTATCACTAAAATATTTTTTAATGGTTGTGCTCCGGTACGGTACATTATCTTAGTGTACCACTCCACCTCGGAACGGTACAGAACACTACGGTACAGTACCATACTGTATATTTTCGAACGCTGCTTTGTAGTCGATTAGTGGTTATCGGAGTTATTTTTTTCGTTTCTTTGTTTTTCATTTCTTTTCATTCTTGTGGTGTTGTGATTTGTCGTGTTATTCCACACCAGACATCGAAGTATAATTGAAATTTACGCCGACGCCGACGGCGGTAGCTGTAGCACGGCTTTTCAAATTTGCACATTTGTGACATCAATCACATAGCTTATTTTATAACAAAAATCGGGTAAATTATTTATATATAATGTCTGATCTTTGATGAACATATCCTCTGAAAATATTTACAAACGCTACAAAAATATCGATTTTCTTATTTAAGTATCTAATATATCATTAGCCAAATACACAAAGAGATTGGGAGCAACCATGGGAAAAATACAGGTAGAAATTTGTGAAAATTGTTGAAAATGCAAATCATAACAATCTCCAATTTGCGTCGTATAAGAAAACCTATAAAATCCACTTTTGACAAAACATTTTAAAAATGTTGACATATCAATGTTTCCATGTATTGATTCATCTACCTGCATTCTTATACCATGGGAGCAACTATGATCATCATTTAAATACGAAAATTATCATCGGCGTCATTTTTGCACACTGAAACGGAAGCATAATCCAAATTTACTCTTACTTTGCAAATCCTGATATTTGTGTCAGTTATAGGTCTGGTAAAAAAGTTGATAACATCGGACCACTCCATCAAGTGCCTCTCCCACAAAGGGTCAAAATTTTGAATAATTGTAACTCATATAAAATATGATGTAAGAGTCCGATTGTCTTCAAATTCCACACACCCTAATAATTCCTAAGACGGAATATATCGGTCCACTCCTTCTGGTACCTCCCCTACAAACGGTGAAAGTTTTGAATAACCAAAACGTTTATAAAATCCGAATTAAGCATCAAGTTCTCTTTATATTTCACACATCCAAACATTTTTGCTAACACAAGATCTGATGCGAAGATGGGACATATCGGATACATCTTTCCGATAGATAATAAAGTGATGTTTTTCGTTATTAGCAGTTTCATTTAAGTATGAACTGTCCGATAAGCAAAAGATCAGATCATCTTCTCTTAAGCTTTTAACGTAAAGTTTACTGAATTTATGTTGCCATATTTTATATTGATAATATGGCAATGACAGCAAACTTTAATTAATAAAAAAGGATAACTCAATTCGTTTATTTTATATTGAAGAACTGAATTATAAATTTATTTCACGGAATTAATTACGAATTCGTTTTGTTGATCATTTTTTTAAACTAAAATGAAGATACCATATGAAAATAAGCAAAAAGCTTGCCATATCTCTGTAAAAAAATGCATATATTTTAAAGGAAAGATGTAATAATGAGATCCCGAAAATGTGAACTTTATATTGTAAAGGACTATAAAGGAAAGATTTAAGAACGGGCCATAGACATTCAAACATGATACAAGAATTGGTTTTCTTTACTTTAAAATTTTCTCTTAATTGCTAAATACCTTCTGTAATTGTGCCATGAGTATAGTTTTAATATTTAACGTCAATAACTTAATAAGACCGACGATCAAAATCGTAATTTCTTTCATTTTATTTAAAAAATTCCGTTTTCACAAAAACAAAGTTGCAAAGAACAATAGACGGCGTTCTTTGCATCAAATCCAACGGCGTCATAATAAACGCTCAACACAGGCGATCATGGCCGGCGTCAAGTATGAGACTTTGATTCTTAGGTTTTAAACACAACGTAAACGTAGAGTGGCATTGATGTATTCCAACTCTTACTTTGTTTTGCTGGATTTTACATACATAAAAAATAAATAACAAATTAAGAATTAATGCAATATCATTCTCACGAATTTTTATTCCTTGACGGGACAAATAGTTAATGTTGGTTAACGAAAAATCAAATTACTGCAATTTAAATTTATTTTCACGCACATAAAAATAATTATTTAAGAATTAATGCAATATATTTTCTCAGATCACGAATATTTACTCCTTGACATGTGTACCGCCTGAGAGTTACAATTTTCTAAAAATCTTCATTAAATAACCTTTTTTAAAAATGATGTCGAATTAAATTGTAAGGTTTTCGTGAAAAGATCCTATCGTATATGAATATAAAAACAAAACAACAAATCAAATAGGAGGCAAATCACCCATTCACACTATAGTGTATAGTTTTTATTGGAAAGCCGCTCTGTCGTTCTGTGTGTGTATGACACACACTGTTGTACAGAGAGGGAGAAAGGTAAACAAATGCTTCGCCGTATGTGTTTACTTCAATAGAGTATGAGTAGTTGGTCATTCAAGTAACTGGCCATGGTTGTTACAGCAGCAGTGCTTTTCAAACTTTAAGTTCACATTGTGAGAAAGGTATTCTTTTTTTGGTACTGTGTAATAATCAAATGAATAGTTGGTAGTTAAGGCGGAAAATGGATGGATACAAAACAAATAGAGGTTTAATAGAGGTGTATTTATATGAGGTGTAAGTGTAGATGGGTAAAATATTCTCAAAAAAAATTAAAAAGTATCTGTCGGTTTTGCTGACGGATGTATGCCCTCAGCCAATGCTCAATATTTAATTTTGATTTTTATTATGATAATTCAAATTGTTGACCCTCTATAAAGTATGATATAAATAAATATAAATAAAATAAGTATGATATAAATATTGCGACGTGCCAGGTTTGGACTATATCCACAATTTCCTTTACTTTCTATGAGATACCTGATAATTTTAATATAATAATATTCATCTCAGGCTTCGGATTGAGAGAAATATTTAGATTTAGCAAGTTGTAAAGAATTGCTGTCTTGATTAGCAAGTTATGACAGATAAAAGTATTGAAAATTATGATTCTTTGTGGGTGAGGTACTAGAAGGGGTTCGCAGATATGTATTATCTTCACAACAGATCTTGTGTTAACAAAAATGCTTGTTTGTGTGAAATTTGAAGAGAGTTGGATGTTTATTTCGCTTTCTTTGAGCGTTTTGTTTTTCAAAATCTTGAACATATAGGGTACCAGAAGAGACCATCTTTATATGTGTTGATGGAAATATTGAGATGTACAAAGTCTAAATAAAATCGGATGTTGTAGAAGTTAGTAGAACTAGTGGGATGCGTGAAATAAAAAGAGAATCGGATGCTTATTTCGCATTTTATTATCGTTTTTTAAAATTTAGACCCTTTGTGGGGAAGGTACAAGAAAAAATGTTTCGATCCCTACTATTTTTTATAACAAATCTTGTGTTAATGGAAATGAGAGAACTCAATAAAATAGGATGTTAATTTCGCGTTTTATTATCTTCATGGATATTCAAAATTTCGACCGTTGGTAGGGAAGGTACCAGAAAGAGTAGACCGATGTATTCCATCTTCACATCAGACATTGGGTCAATAAAAATACTGTGATGTGTGTAATTTGAAGACAGTCGGACTCTTACATCACATTTTTGTGGAGGAGGTTCCTGATGAAGTGCGCCGATATTGTCAATTTTTGTACCTAACCTGGCACTGATGCAAATATTACGATGTGCAAAGTTGGAACAAAATCCTTCCTTTCGGTTTCTGTGCAGTATTTTTTTTTTTTAATTTCGACATTTTGTGGGGGAGGTACCTGAAGGAGTGGTCCGATTTTGAACTCGATCTAAGTTTGACAATAATATAACGATGTACCAAGTTTGGACCAAATCGGATAATTCCTTCGAGAGTTATCGTGCGCATCAGCCAGACAGACAGACGGACGGAATTCGCTAGATCGACTTCAAATGTCCTGAAACGGATTTGGTCAAAGCCCGTTATTTCGACGAGACACGTTTTGTCCGTATCAAATGATATATACATCTCTAGCCATATTGCTGAGGGTATAAAAATTATTTACCATCCACTGTGTGCGTTTGAGAGGCATTATTGTACAAAGTGGGAGGAGAGAGAGAGAACCAAATTTTTAGCGGTGTTCAAACCAAAAGAGTACAAGTAATTGATTTGTAAGTAACTGGATATTATTGTTTCCGTTGTTAGACTTCTGTACCACAGCAGTGCTTTTCAAACTTTAGAGACACACTGAAAAACAAAACTATTGGTGTGAGAAAGATAGTTTCTCTATTGCTGTGATAACTATGGTTATCGAATGACTAGATAATGTTGGTTAGAAAATGGATGGCTTCAAAGTACATGTTGAAAAGTTTGTGGCAAAGAGTTCTTTAAAAAAATTATCAATTAATCCGCATTTAATTATATTTCCAGATTTTTTTTTGGGGGTGTACATATTAATTTTTTGGAACTTCGAAGATTTTAACCAAATTTTTGAAATTGTTGTATTTTTTGCTCACCTATGATAGATTCCCTGCCCCGGCAGCTCATCTATGATAGACTCCCTGTCCCGGCAGCTCTTCTATGATAAACTTCCTGCCACGGCAGCTCATCTATGATAGATTCCCTGCCCCGGCAGCTCATATATGATAGATTCCCTGCCCCGGCAGCTCATCTATGATAGATTCCCTGCCCAGGCAGCTCATCTATGATAGATTCTCTGCCCCGGCAGCTCATCTATTATAGATTCCATTGGTCCTCCATCTCACCAAAATTAACTTTAAATGCAAATATATTAAAATTTCTAATTTTTTCTATTTCCGTTCTTTCTAAATTCTCCTGCCATTCTTGTGTTTACACAATTTAATCTCTCGTAGATTAGCACCTCATTTTATAACCATAATTTTCCCTCACTCCCTCCCTCAAAAAACAGCTCCCAACTGCCGTTTTCGATGGAAGACAATTCGCAATTCATTCAAGCGATCGTTTCGCAAATTCGGCACAAGTTCCCAATACTATTTGTATGAATATTTGGACTTTTTGGTTCCCCATATGTCGCTGATGGAAAAGAACGATGAAAGTATTGGCCAAGGTGATGATGTTAATCCCCTGCAGCTGGACAAAGATGATGATATCTCACACCTGGACGATGTCAGTTTTACGAATGATACCGAAACGACCAAAAGTGCCGATGACTTGTTTAAGAATAAGCTAAGGCGCGCTTCTTCGGTAATCGATTTGGCTGCTGACAGTGATGGTGATGGGGATGGGTTGAACAGTACGACAAACCAAGAAGTGGAGCAGAAGGAGAAGGAAAAGGAGGAAAGAAAGTCCAAGAGGAATCGTGAATCGCCGCCTTTGCCAAAATTACAGCCAATTCAACCGGTTCCGAGTCCTACAACTAAATCGGACGATTGTCGTCCCTTGCGTTCACGTAAGCCACCCAAACGTATCTATGAACCGGATCAGGATTCGGAGCAACAAGGCGAGAAAAGGCAACGCCGTATATTGCAGAGGCGCAAGTCTTTGGGTGGCTTGGTCCTAAGGGAATTTATGTTCAAGAATAACATCACGCTGGAAGATCATCAAGCCGAAGAGCAACGCAAAGCGACAATCACCTTCAATGATGAGCCTGAAATTGATCTTCATCACCAGGAATCATCGTTGGATGCTGTGAAAGAAATTGAAAATCTGGAAAATAATTGGAAACCCACAATGGAGGCGGGGGTGTGTGTCAAACCTGAAATGCTGGATGCCTGCACGTGGACCGAAGCCACGGAAATAACAAGTGACAAGGCCATACAGAGCAATGAAACTGCTCGCAGCATGGACGATGAATTCCTGGACTCGCTACGGCCCCAGATACAGACCATGAATTTTCGCCAGAAAATCAATTTCAAGCAACGTGTCTACCTTGCGCTCATGGATGTCTTGGATGATGCAAAGAATTTTCCCAACGACGAGGATGACATTGTGGAGCTACCCCCACCGATGGCCAAACATTTTGAGTCGGCCACAAATGGTGAGTTGCGTTTAATGCGTGAACTTGTCTCCCTGGTCAAGGCAGCCAAGGTGTCACCGGAAATTGTGGAGGCCAATCGCAAGGTGACAATACTCAGAACAGCATCGGAAAATAATCTCTCGCCACCGGCTCGCAATGACGTCATATCTCCCATACCCAATGGCCTGGAAGAGTTACTGGGAGATGCTGAGAGCGATGGAACAACGGCCTCAGATTCCCCGGTGGTTGCCGCCAAGTCACACGATTCCCTAGGGATACCCAGGCATATTTTACACAAGGCCGTTAAGGTGACGGGGCAAAGTGGCGGAACTTTGCTGGCCCAAAATGGTGACAAACGGCGCATTTATAGGATATATCCCAAAAATCAGGCACCAGGTTCTGGCACCAATTCTCCCCAGAGTGGGGGAGACAAAGTGGTGGGTGGCTCTCAGCAAGGCAGCAGCAGTGCTTCGGGAACATTTTTTGTCACACCCTCAAAAGCGCCATTGAATCGCTCTGCCACCTCGAGCTACTTTGGTTCGGTGAAATCAAGCCTTACCCAGCCGATCAATAAACCCCTCAGTAAAGCAATTCTCTCGCAACCTCTCAACAAGCCTAGTCACACACCCATGCGTGGCACGGCAATACAGTATCCCAAAATTATAGCCAAGCCAACGGGAACTAGTCCTTCATCTGGCAACAATGGTAGCGCACCCTCATCATCATCATCATCTTCGTCGTCGTCGACAATGTTACCACCCAGTTCGACCAGATCACCTGCCCTGTCCGGCGCCAATTCCTCGAATTCCACCCCAATGCAGGGTCAAAAAATAAGCATTGCCACCCATGTGCCCAGTGCCAATATCTTTCGTCGGCGCTACTCGATATGTGGTCCAGCTCCCAACTCAAACTCCAGCCCAGCAAATCGCTTGGTAACTGCAAATGGTGGCCCCGGAACTCCACCATCTTCGGCGGGTCAACTATCTAGGCAGACAGTATCACTGCAGCCATTGCAGAATATCCAACAAATGAGGCAGGGATTGCAGCAGCATTTACAGCAAATGCGTCAGGGTTTGCAGCAAACACAACAGCCGTTTAGGTTATCCCAAACACCCATGAGGCTTGCCGGCTCATCTACGTCATCCCCTCAAAGCAGACCACCACCATTGCAGCAAATACGGCCAGTCACCATGGCCAACTATAATTCTGGGGGAAATGGCCGTAGCACAACCTCCAACAACACATCATCAAACACCTCATCCTCCTCCTCGTCTCCATTTCAAATCATAGCACCCCGTAGCCTTAACGCCTCCCACAATGAGTACAACTCTCACAGCAACAGTCCCAAGGGCCATGACTCCAATTCCGCAGATGGTCCCGTGTCGTCCACAAAACACAACAATGTCATCAACGAGGCCCTCAACGATGGTCCCACACCACCCGATTCATGTTCGCAGAACTCCAATGATATACCCAGCCAGGAAACAGCCGGCACCATAGCGGCCGATTCCTTTGAGCCAGAATTTCCCAAGCCTCCCTTTATCAAAGATGAACCTGAAGATTAAAAACAAGAAGTAAAACACTTAGTTTAGTTTTGTAATTATTATTTTTCCACATTTCATTAATTGACTTTTTGGTTTTTGAAAAAACAACAATTGTTTAATAAAAACATTTAAAAAATTAAAAAAAAAAACAAAGAAATTATATATTTTTTTATTTTCCATTTCATGTTAAAAACAAGTTGTATTGAATAAAGTATTTAATTTTTAATAAAGTTTTTGGATTATTTAAAAACAGATTAAGTGATCAGGAGGTAAGTAGAGACATAATACAAGCAGGGGACCAGGGGGTATGTCATAAATAAACTGAAGGGCTGGGGATTTTATCACAAATTAGCTGGGCAGGCTATCGCAAACGAGGTAGAGACAGGGAGTCTATTATAGACGAGCTGGAGGGCCAGAGAGTCTATCATAGACGAGCTGGAGGGCCAGAGAGTCTATCATAGACGAGCTGGAGGGCCAGAGAGTCTATCATAGACGAGCTGGAGGGCCAGAGAGTCTATCATAGACGAGCTGGAGGGCCAGAGAGTCTATCATAGACGAGCTAGAGGGCCAGAGAGTCTATCATAGACGAGCTGGAGGGCCAGAGAGTCTATCATAGACGAGCTGGAGGGCCAGAGAGTCTATCATAGACGAGCTGGAGGGCCAGAGAGTCTATCATAAACGAGCTGGAGGGCCATAGAGCCTACCATAGACGAGCTGGAGCGCCAGAGAGCCTATCATAGACGAGCTGCAGGGGAAGGGAGTCTATCATAGACGAGCTGCAGGGGAAGGGAGTCTATCATAGACGAGCTGCAGGGGAAGGGAGTCTACCATAGACGAGCTGGAGGGCCAGAGAGTCTATCATAGACGAGCTGGAGGGCCAGAGAGTCCATCATAGAAGAGCTGGAGGGCCAGAGAGTCTATCATTGACGAGCTGCAGGGGAAGGGAGTCTATCATAGACGAGCTGGAGGGCCAGAGAGTCCATCATAGAAGAGCTGGAGGGCCAGAGAGTCTATCATTGACGAGCTGCAGGGGAAGGGAGTCTATCATAGACGAGCTGGAGGGCCAGGGAGTCTATCATAGACGAGCTGGAGGGCCAGGGATTCTATCATAGACGAGCTGGAGGGCCAGGGAGTCTATCATAGACGAGCTGGAGGGCCAGGGAGTCTATCATAGACGAGCTGGAGGGCCAGGGAGTCTATTATAGACGAGGTGGAGTGCCAGGGAGTCTATTATAGACGAGCTGGAGGGCCAGAGAGTCTATTATAGACGAGCTGGAGGGCCAGAGAGTCTATCATAAACGAGCTGGAGGGCCAGAGAGTCCATCATAGAAGAGCTGGAGGGCCAGAGAGTCTATCATAGACGAGCTGGAGGGCCAGGGAGTCTATCATAGACGAGCTGCAGTGGCAGGGAGTCTATCATAGACGAGCTGGAGGGCCAGGGAGTCTATCATAGACGAGCTGGAGGGCCAGGGAGTCTATCATAGACGAGCTGGAGGGCCAGGGAGTCTATCATAGACGAGCTGGAGGGCCAGGGAGTCTATCATAGACGAGCTGCAGTGGCAGGGAGTCTATCATAGACGAGCTGGAGGGCCAGGGAGTCTATCATAGACGAGCTGGAGGGCCAGGGAGTCTATCATAGACGAGCTGGAGGGCCAGGGAGTCTATCATAGACGAGCTGGAGGGCCAGGGAGTCTATCATAGACTAGCTGCAGGGGCTGGGAGTCTATCATAGACGAGCTTGAGGGCCAGAGCGTCTATCATTCACCAGCTGGAGGGCCACGGAGTCTATCATAGACGTGCTGGAGGGACAGGAAGTCATCTGGAATTTTGGGGACGCCATAAGTTAACTTTAAATGCAAATATGTTAAAAATCTTCGAATAGGAAGAGTTTTGTAACCTCGAACCGCAGTTTTTTATTAGACTAAGGACGGCAAAGAAGTCAATAGGTCTCGATATGGACAAACATGGATGAAGGTAATGAGAACGTCATACAAAGTGAGAAGCTCCATGTCAGTTATGTAGTTGAGTTGAAGAATCCAAAAAAACGGTAATTTACTGAAGGTAAGTAATACAGAATCGTCTCTATCCTTTGCAGCTACGCGGATTCTATAGGCTATAGAAAAGTAAATTAAATGTATTCTACTACATACTGTGGCGCCCAAATGGGCAATTCACAGCCAGATATTTACTTTAACAACTTTCAGGGAACATTTGCATACTCACACCCCCGCACAGAAAGCCCAACTGGTGTATTTTTTGATACGGCCAAAACCTGTCTCATCGAAATAACGGTTTTAGACCCTAGGTCTCTTTGGACCAAATCCGTTCCAGAACATTTGGAGTCGATCTAGCGATGGTCGTCCGTCTCACTGCCTAGCTGGTGCGCACGATAACTCTCGAATGGAGTATTCGATTTGGTCCAAACTTGGTACATTGTAATATTATTGTCAAATTTAGATCGAGTTCGGAAACGGGCATATGTGCGATCTCATCGCAATTACTCATTATGTGTAGTTTAGTACGTCCCTAATGCAGACACTCAATAATTACAATACTCTCCGAATTCCCCTAGCAGATATATTCTTGTGCCATGGTTGCCTATAGACTTTTCTTTTGTTAACTTAGTTCTGCCCCATTAATAAAAAATCCAAAATTTCTATCGAACTGAAACCTTCAATGGACTTTCTACAACATAAAATCCCTTTCTATATACTCTTTATACCTATTCCAGTCCCCATTTTAATAAAAGAAAATCGATTTATTCACAAAACTTTCCCTTGATCGTTTCTTATCACACAACAACTCCCTGTTAACTCTTTTTTGCAAATTCACACATTCCATCTCTGGGGTGATGTGTCATAGAAAACATAACAGCCTATCAAATTGTCAGAGTAGCAAACAGTAACTGTCCAGTGGTGAAAGAGAGAGAGAGAGAGAGCAAACACATGCGAGAGATTACCCTTCGTTATGCATTTGACGAACGATCATTGTTGTTCACGAAAGACATCCCCCGACTCGCATTGCCAACAGCAAACGATGGAGATGCACACAATTGCCGAATAAAAGGCGGCCAATGTTGTAAAAGAAAACCAAATCTTGTTGTTGCCTTTTATTGATGCCGTTTAACGAATGCTAGCGTACATGTGTGTGTATGTGAATGTGTTTATGTCATAACAACAGCTGCATTGCTTTTGTTTTGTTTTCATTAACTGCTGCTGCTGCTGTTAATGGCGTCGTCGTCGTAGTCGCTGTTGTTATTATGGATTTTCTGAGCAACATAAGTAACAAACACCACCTAATAAAAGATGAGCAGGTAGTTTGGCAGTAGCAACGGAAACAACAACAAAATACCAACCAACAACCACCATCGGGTCCTAATGAAGTTAAAGCTAATAATTCTGTTAAGGCTGCTCATAATCCAGTTGTTGGCAATAATGATGATGATGATGTTGCTGGTGTTTTCTTTTATGATTGGTGGGGAGAGTGGTGGTGGTTTTTTTGGCAATTGCAAAACGAGGCATCCCCTCCTTATTTTTGGGGTTCCATTTTCGTTGTTGTTTGTCCCGAAAAAAGTAAACATTTGTTGTAAAGTTGCCGGCCTTCTTTCATGCATGACAGACGGGTCGCCGAGTGGAGTGCTGCCTGTCTCTCCGTCTTTACCGTTGTTTCTACTACGAGACCGATAATGATGTTCGTTAATGGCGTTGTTCGTCGTTGCTGGGTTGCTGTTGGGGCTTGTTAACGGCATTGTTGGTTGCCTGCATTCGTTTGGTGGTGGCAATGACGATGTCGCCTTACAATGTCTTGCTGTTGTTGTTGTTGTTGTATGTACAATGATGGTGGTGTGGCGCGGGTTGCCTGGCAATGGCGGTGGTGATTTAAATCTTTGCCGTTCTTGTTGTTGTTGTTATTTTTGTTGATGTTGCTTATATTGCCTGGCCTACAATAGCCGTGGTGCAGCTGCTGTCCGTAAATGTGGTTGCTTTGAAATATTATCGTCGTCATTCGTTTGCTGTGCTCGTTGCTTGGATGGTTGGCGGGTTGGTTGGTTGGTTGGCTAGTTTGTTGTTTGGCTGGCCTGGCCTGGCTGCTGGTTCATTGTTGGTGGGTTTTTGATTGCTCATTTGTTTGTTGTTATTGTGGTGCTGCTACTTGCTGTTTATATTGTGTCTGGCTGCCTGATTTTGTTTTTTTCTTGCTTTGCTGTTTTTTTTTTTGATATTGTATGAATGTGTGTGTGCATGTATTTGTAAAACAAATTGTTGGCCGAGTAACGACGACACCGGCAACGAAGATGATAATAATGATTGTGATGCCGTCGTTCGTTATTTTGTTGTTGTAGAAGATGATAATGATATTGGCTGTGTGAGTACATTGGTGTATGTGTGTGTAAGTGTTAGTTTACGTTTATTTTCAGGGGTCCCAAAGACACAGCCACCACCACCAACGTTTTGCTTTTGTTGACAGCGTAATCTTTTGGGTTTTTTTGTTGTTCGTCGGCAGGCAGGCAGGTATGTGTTGCCATCGTCACTAGCCAAAAACAACAATTTGTAATAATAATTGTTACATACAAGAACAACAACAATAACAGCAAAAGCAAAACTACCACCCCATTGTAACAACAACAAAGGCACTGTCAATGCTTGCCGATGATGATGTTGATGACTGTGACTATGACGATGACAACACTGCCACCACCACCACCAACAGCAATGTATGCCAAATCCAGACAACAAAACCCAAAATCAGCAAGCAACCGCGTTTTTTTTACAGCCACCAAAATGAAACCCAGCACACATTTTTAGAGGTGAGTTTTAAAATAAATAAATAAATACTAAAGCAACAACAAATTTTTTTCCAAAACCAAAAATGAAGAACGAAGTAATCCTTGTTTAGTAAAAACTCTTGGGTTTTGGAAAGAGGTAGGTATTTGTGCCCTGATGCAGCGAAAGTATGTTTTTCATGGGAGACGGACCCGGATAACCGGATCAAGACGAATCCGATATGGACGATATGGACAATATAGGTATCATTTGAAAGTTAATGAAAATATCTATTCGACATGTAAGTGATGGGGTTATTTATCAAAACTATTGATTTTTGGACCCAAAAGTTTGAGGGTCCGCAGAGTGTATGCCAAGTTATTGTTGAAAATATAATCTTTCTAAAATGTGTTATTATCATACACATACCCAGAGGAGAAATTCGGGTAGCTGGTTTTAGACAATCCCAAAGGAAAAAATTGAAGGCTGACTTCCTAAAACAGCATCAAATTTAGAAAAAGTTAATTTAGCATAGCCGCTTTTGGGCATACCTAGAATTTGAAGAATTTGCTTAGTTCTACTGAACCGAATCTTTCGTGAACAACAATGATCGTTCGTCAAATGCATACCGAAGGGTAATCTCTCTGTCTCTCTCTTTCACCACTGCACAGTTACTGTATGGGTTGGTTACAATTTGATATGCTGTTATGTTTTCTATGACACATCACCCCAGAGATGGAATGTGTGAATTTGCAAAAAAGAGTTAACAGGGAGTTGTTATGTGATAAGAAACGATCATGGAAATGTTTTGTGAATAAATTGATTTTCTTATTGAAATGGTGTCTAGAATAGCCATAAAGAGTGTATAGTAAAGACTTTTTTGATATAGAAAGTCCACTGAAAATTTTCCTTTGATAAACATTGTGGATTTTTTTTATCGAAGGGAAGAACCAAGTTAACAAAAGAAAAGTAAATTATACATAATGAGTAATTACGATGAGATCCCACACAAAGAATGTGAAATGGGCCAAAATTGTCCATTTCGTGTCGGACCTAAGTAAATATGATATAAATATTGCGAGGGCCCAAGTTTGGGCAGAAATGTTATATGTGTGAAATCTGAAGAGAGTTGTGTGCTTATTTCGCTTTCTTTGAGGGTTTTGTTTTTAAAAATGTTTACCCTTTGTGGGGGAGGTACCAGAAGGAGTTGACCGATATATTCCATCTTCACACCAATCGGGCTCGTATATCACATATTATAAGAATTATAATAATTCAAAATTTTGACCCTTTGTGGGGGAGGTACCAGAAGGAATGGTTCGATCTCTACCATCTTTATGACAGATCTTATGTTAATGGAAATATTGAGATGTACCAAGTTTGAATGGAATCGGATGTTTATTTCGCGTTTTATGAGCTTCGTGGAAGTTCAATATTTTAACCCTTTGTGGGGGAGGTACCAGAAGGAGTGGACCGATATATTCCATTTTCACACCAGATCTTGGGTTAATAAAAATATTGCGATGTGTGTAATTTGAAGGCAATCGGGCTCGTATATCACATTTTATAAGAGTTATAATTTTTCAAAATTTTGACACTTTGTGGGGGAGGTACCAGAAGGAATGGTCCGATCTCCATCATCTTTATAACAGAACTTGTGTTGATGGAAATATTGAGATACACCAAGTCTGAATGGAATCGGATATTAATTTCGCGTTTTATGAGTTTTATGGATATTCAAAATGTTGACCCTTTGTGTGGAGGGTACCAGTAGGAGTGGACTGAAATATTCCATCTTCACACCAAACTTTGACTTAATAAAAATATCGTGATCTGTGTAATTTGAAGACAATCGGACCCTTACATCATAATTTATAAAAGTTATACTTTTTCAAAATTTTGACCCTTTGTGGGGGAGGAACCTGATGGAGTGGGCCGATATTGTCCATTTTCGCACCTGACCTAGCACTGATATTAATATTAGGATTTGCAAAGTTGGAGCAACATCGGATTATCCTTTCGTTTTCTGTGCAGTAAAATATTGTTTGACAATTTCGACCTTCTGTGGGGGAGCTACCAGAAGGGGTGGACCTATATTGTTCATTTCCAAACTCGATCTAAGTTCGATAATAATATTACGATGTACCAAGTTTGGACAAAATCGTATACATCCTTCGAGAGTTATCGCTAGATCGTCTCCAAATGTCCTGAAATGGAATTGGGTCAGACAGACCCAGGGTCTAAAAACGTTATTTCGATGAGGCACATTTTGGCCATATCAAAACACAGCCATATGGCTGAGAGTAAAAAATATCTTAGAAAACATTTACTTTTTTACCTTGCTTCGAAATGTTTGCTGGGTTAGAGCAACACATCAAACCCCCATGCAGGCAACGAACGACGATGAATAACCACATTTTACATGCTCTCACACAACTTGTGTACTGTCCGACCGACCAACCGACCAGCCATCCAAATGTGTGCTGCTGATGTTGTTGTTGGCGACGGCGACGACGACGACAACCAACAACGACATTGTATCGCATTTGCTTGGTTATTGCTGTTGTTTTTGCTCGTTTCGTTTTTTTGTTTTCAATAACCCAGCTGTAGTATTACTTGGCTCTGGCTGTGGTTGGTCTTTGACAACAACAGCCAGCACCATCATCATCATTGTCGTCGTCAGCAGCAGCAGCAATGAAACGAGCGAACGACACACAACAGTTGTTTTACGACAGCCAGCCGCCTGCTTGCCTGCCTGCCTGGTCAGACGAGACCGAACGTAACGTCTGTATGTCTGATTGCCTGCCTACCTACCCGCACCCGCCATCAACATCCACCACCACCACCGCTCGCCAGCTCGCTTCTCTATTATCATCAATCCGACATGCATACACACAGCCATACATACATACACACATGTATTGTGTGTGACGTTGTTGTTTTTTGTACAACTACTGCTGCTGCTCTTATTGTTGTTGTTTTTGTACCCCCACCAACCACAACACAACCGTGGCAGAGTAGGTATTGCTTTGCTTGTTTGCTGCTGCTGTTGCCATCGCTTGCTGCTATTTGCCATCATCAGTTGCCGTCAGTCTGTTGTTTGCGTTCAGCCCGAGTGTTGGCAATCAGTTTTTAGCACGGCTCTTCGGTCTTCTTACTTTGCTTCGCCTTTCTTGCTCTTGTTGTGTGCATAGTATTTGAAAAAAGTGTTCGATAATCGCCATAAAAGAAGAAAGTGAAATACTAAATTGGAAATTAAAAAAAAAATTAACAAAATCAAGTGTCATCACTGAAAAGAAAAACACAAAGGGGTCTTTGGAACAACACAAACCTCCCCCTCCCTGTTTTCCCCACTCACTCTCAGTTCACCACCAAAAAAAACAAAAACCGCAACCATTAAGCCCAACACGAACAAATTAAGGAACAGCAGCAGCACCAGCACCACCATGTTGGAAAATAAACCGGAAAATTATAATGTAAATGCCAAAATTTGTCGCCTGGTGGAGCAATATCCCTGCATGTATGATCGTTCCCATCCCAGCTATTTGAAGAAAGATGTTGTCGATCTGGCATGGATAGCGATTTCAAAAGAAATGAATGATTCAAGTAAGTATACAAGCAACAACAATAACTTAAACAACACCTTGTCCATGTTGTTGCTTTGCCTCAAGAAAAAGACACGTTTTTAGCCAATGTTAAGTAGCCTTTTAACTCTTGGGGATTTCACTTTCCACTCCTCCCTTGGCTTTTCAATAACCCACCAACAACTAACTAGGCATCATCGTGTTTTGTTTTGTCACCAACATCATGTAATATCAAAGAAGAGAAGCAAAAACAACTTTGTCATATTATTCTTAATTATGAACAATTCGTTGTTGTTTTTGTTTTCACCACACAAAAACATTGCTGGCTGCTGGTTATTTCGTTAATATTATTTTTTTACTTTTGTTGTTTTTGCTGCTGCTATTATTGCCTTTTATTTTCTTACAAAGAAAAACAACAGTCGTTTGCCGCCGCCGCCATCGTAGTATTATTTATAGTAGTTGGCTCTCATCTCCTTTCGTTGTGTTTTTTACCCGACAAACAAATAGTTCAGAGTGCGCATTCTCTCTCCTTCCTCTCTGTGCTCTATTCTCACAACTAAAACAGCAGTTATTTTATTTTTCCCTCATATCATGATGCCTCACATTTGGATAAGGGGGCAACATTGCCTTTGTCTAGTTGCGGTGCAAAGAGAGCGGCGCATCATACGTACACAGAGCGGCGGGAGAGCAAGAGTTTGCAAAAACAATTGTCATAATAACAATGACGATGGACGACACTAACAGCAGCAGCAGCAACGAATGCAATACACAACAACAATAATAACTGTGCCGCCGTCGCTGTTTAGCAGCCGAGGCATGGCATATGTTTGCCTTTGCCTACAGTAACAATAACAACACAAATACGTATGAGTGTGTGTGTGTACGTTATATGCAAAAGACAATGGCAATCATAACAATGCACACTACCAACCATCCACCCTTGTATATTAGCAAGCACCCCGAGTAAAAAAGCAAATGTTTGTTTATTCTGTTTTGGACAGTCTGTAATGTCAACTGGGCGTTTTTGCAAAGAAAAAATGTTGGATTATGGAAATAACGGCGTTACCAATCGAAACAAATATTGTTTCTTTTATATACAGAGTAATGTTAATTTGGCGTTTTTTTGTGAGAAAAGATTTGGAATATTTAATTAGACTGCAAGTTAGGACTTTCACAACTGTATATTACCATACCGAATAAAATCAAATGTTTGTTTATTCTGTATTGTCAAATGAAATTATAGGGTTAAGGGAAAAATAGCGTTGCCAATTAACAGAAATGACAATTCTTTAATGCACACAGTAATGCTAATTTGGTGATTTTTGTACAAAAAATGTTATGTTTGGGCAAAAAATGGCGAAGTTGTCTGTTTGATTTCCTCTTCAAAAATTAATAAATTACATAGTCTTTCAACTTATTAGGCAAAGACGGCGAAGTTGTCTGTTTGATTTCCTCTTCAAAAATTAATGATATAGTCTTTCATACAATGGTTTGTATTTCAACTTATTTACAAAAAAAAAATATTTTATCTTCCTCTACTTCTTTACATGCAAGGAGTTTGAAATGTTGCAAATTTAAACTTGGAACGTCTTTGCTGTACGTATAGTTGCAACACGGGAGCCGAATGTAAACATTGCCGTTTTTGCAACTTTTGCAATTTATTGAGTGAAGCTAAGATTGCGTTTTTTTATTCAAAAATTTCCCTAATTTGGTGATTTTTGTACAAAAAATGTTATGTTTGGGCAAAAAATGGCGAAGTTGTCTGTTTGATTTCCTCTTCAAAAATTAATAAATTACATAGTCTTTCAACTTATTAGGCAAAGACGGCGAAGTTGTCTGTTTGATTTCCTCTTCAAAAATTAATGATATAGTCTTTCATACAATGGTTTGTATTTCAACTTATTTACAAAAAAAAAAAAATATTTTATCTTCCTCTACTTCTTTACATGCAAGGAGTTTGAAATGTTGCAAATTTAAACTTGGAACGTCTTTGCTGTACGTATAGTTGCAACACGGGAGCCGAATGCAAACTTTGCCGTGTTTGCAACTTTTGCAATTTATTGAGTGAAGCTAAGATTGCGTTTTTTTATTCAAAAATTTCCCTGAAAGGCAAAGAAAAAGGAGTTAAATACTTAAATTTTCTTGTTCATCGGATGTTAGCAATCAGGCAATAGTTTTTTATTTGGCAAAATTTGTTTCATAAAATATTTGATAAGTAAAACACATTTCCTTATTTCTCTTAAATTTTTTGCCATATTGTTAAATAGAACCTCATTCAATTCTATTAACTTCGTCTACTGGTTTCGGGAATTGGAAAATATTTTCTACTAAAAGATTAGAATTAAAAAAGAAATACAAGCGTTTCTCTGGTTCGGGGACTAAAATGTATATACCTTGAATTAATTGTGCCAGATATATATTTACGACTTATATAACTTAAACATTTTGTCTTTTCCTGCAAAAAAATATCAATCAATAGTTTTCCCCAAAAAATTTTTGTTCTTTAGTGTCAGAATTTTATTGTTTTTCATTAATATCTTAGAAAAACGCTACTTAGCTACATTTTTTAATTCTTTTCAGATCTAAAATTTCATTAAAAACGCTGTGTTAGCATTATTTTTTAGTATCCATCACGAAATGTAATTTTTTCGTTTCTTTCCGCCAATTTGTTATGAAAAACGCTACAATAGCCACATTTTTCAATTTTTTCAAATCTAAATTTTCTTTAAAAACGCTGTGTTAACATCACCGTTTAGTATCCATTATGAAATGTGATTTTTGACGGTATTCTCTCAAAATTTGTTATTTCATATATCTATCATTGCCATCATTGTGCCACAAATACGGCTACCTTTTAACGCTGTCAACATGAAATTACGGTATATTTTTTGATTATTTGTATGTCTATATTAAATCGACACTTTACAAAAGAAACGTTAAGTTAGCCTCATTTGTAATGAAATGTGATGTTTCCATATCTTCGCCCCATTTTTTATACCACATGGCTGATGTTGCCATATTTCTGAGTCAGTTACTTGACGCCGTCAAAATTAAATAACGGTAATTTTCACTAACATCCAGCAGTTTATAATCTAGTCTTCCATGTTAGGTTTTTAAAAAAAAACGCTAAATTAGCTTCATTCTTTTCCATTTTATTATGAAATGTCATGTTGTTATATCTTCCCGCCAATTTGTAATGTCATATGACTAGTGCTGCCATATCTTTATCACAAAGGCGGTTATTTCATATAACTAACGCCGTCAAAAGCAATTAGCGGTAATTGTAGTGTTGATAAGGCGCCGTTTCTTTGTTTTTCCTTTGGAGATGGCCAAAAGAAGAGGGCTTTGAATTTTTAAACTTCTTTCCGTTAATAGCTTATTAATTATTTCTTGTTTTTACAGTTTCCTCGTGCAAAGAACGTTGGCGCAACATACGCACCTCTTACGCCCGCTCCATCAATGTCAATAAAGTACCTGCTAGTGCTAATCGCACTAAACCCTATTATTTGCATGAAGAGTTACAATTTCTATCGCGACACATTACACCGGGTATACCTGTCTCGAGACGTTCCGTATCCAATTCTTATCACACCTCACCGCGCAGTGAAAAAGGTGAACACATAGAAGTGGCATTGGGCGAGGAGTCCATTGATAGTTATGCCGCCGCCATGATGGATTATGAAGATAAATCTCAAGATCGTGAAGAACGTAGCAGTAGTGTTGTTAGTGAGTCAGCATCGAAAAATACCCCAGAAAATGATACAGAACCAGCGGAGGTGTCTGTGACGGAGGCAAACGGAACAACACAACAGCAATTACAATCCTCACAAATTGAGGAGAAAGCCACCTCAACAACAGCCCCAGTCAGTGGCGACGAATTTGTACCACCACCCATGGTACAAATCGAGGAGGATCAGTTGGACATAACACAAGAAGAGCGAAGGGATTCCATTAACTTTGCCTGTGCTCCACCCAAGAAACGTTTGAGAGTTGCAAATAGCGCCTATGGTATTGATAATTACACTTACACAGATGTTAAGGTGAGTTGAAGAATTCGAAATCTTTGTTTGGCAATGAAACTAATTTTGTATTTTCTTCATTAAAGCCCGTTGAAATAGTTCCACCCCATGATTATGATAACATTTTCCTGCAAGGTCTCCTGCCCGAAATGAAAGCCATGGATTTCCGCCAAAAAATCATTTTCAAACGACGCATCTATGAAGTTTTATCAGAGATTTTCGATAACTCCTCAAGTCAAGCGACATCTACGACAACCAATAACTCTTACCACCATGGACAGCATGCTAATCAATCCTCACCCATTGCCATGGTCAATTCCTCAGATCTAAATATGTTGAGACGTTTAAATAATTTACTACAAGATCCCTCATCGGCAAGTACAACACAGACAACCCAGCCGTTAACACCACGTTGTGTAAATATATCCTCAGCCGTTTTGGCCTCTCCCAATACTCCAGCGTCCATATCGGTACCCATTGCTAAAATTGGTGCCACAACTAGATCATCGGCTGCCAGTGTAACTCGTTTACGTATGGTCAATGGAGTGACAGCACAAACGGCTGTCAAAGAGGAGCCGGACACAAATTGAGGTTATCTTTTGGTCCGTAGTGTAGGGAATCGGTATCCATTGTAGCTAGGTAGTTGTAGAAAATTTTAGTATTAGCATATAAAGACGTTTTTATATGTATGTAATTTTGTGTGTTTTTAGTATGAATTTCAATGTAAATATTTGTAAAATTTATTTATTAAGAGAATTATTGAGGTTTTACCGTATATGCCCCCATGTACATTTATTGAGATTACATAGATCTTGAAACTCTATTTGTATCTTAAAATCAAAGTTATAATTAAAAAATTTCGGAAATGTTTTTAAGGAAAATTTTGTATTTATGAAGTGAAAATGGGGCGTTAATTAAATTGTCCAAAATCCTAAAATCAAACATTATTATTAATGTATGTTTTCTATGTAATATTATATATAAAATATCCATATACATCTGCAGTCATTAGTTTTGTAATGATTTTTAAATAAAATTAGAAGGAAATCTGTAATATACAAACTATTAATTTGGTTTTTTTATGCTCCTCTTTTTGAGGTTTATTGTAAATATAGAAGGGATTCTATGGGGTCTGATGGGGTGGGGTTATAAATGGGCAATTATAAATAGATTCTAGTAGTTACGTAAGCGGTAAATTAAAAAAAGAATTACTAGGGCGGATTTAAGGATTTAAGAAAAAAATGTTTTTTTTTTTAAATTGTGGATTTTATAAAAATGTTCTCCTAGTAATGCCGAATTTTTGAAGAAAATTGTAAAATTTGGATTTTCAAAAAAGTTTTAAAAAATCCAAAACTTTTTTTTATAGAAAATTTGAAAAATTCCGAAACGTGAATTTTTTATGAAAATTTGAAAAATTCCAAACGTTAAAGATCGTTTGAAATCAATTTTTAAAAAAATCGAAAGAAATTTTTAAGTTATTTCCAAAACGCGAATTTTAAGAAAATTTGCAAAGTAATTTTCAAAACGTCGATTTTCAAAGAAAATTTAAAAAGAAATTTTCAATACGTGAAAAATTTGACAAAATCGGAAAACATGAATTTTTAAAGAAAATTGAGAAAAATTTCGGAAATTACTTTTTAAAGATAAAACTTTTAGGAGAGTATAAGCCTTTTGTTATAAAAATCTAATGGATTAGACCAGAAATTGTGGATTTTTTTAAATGTTCTCCTTGGAAGGTGCAAAATGCAGATTTTATAAAGAAAGTTTTAAAAAGTTGATTTTTAAAGAAAGGTTAAAATATTTAAAAAAATCGAAAATGTGGATCCTTAAAATCTTTAATGGATTTAAAAAAAATTGAAAGGAATTTTTAAGAAAATTTGGATTATTTGAAAAATATTTGAAAACAAAATTTCAAAACGTAAATTTTTAAAGAAAAATTGAAAAAAATCCGAAAACGGAAAGAAATAAAAGAAAATTTCAAAACTTAGGTTTTCAAAAGTATTTTTAAAGAAAATTTGAAAAATCCAATATGTGGTTTTTTAAAGAAAATTTAAAAGGATTTTTTAAAGAAAATTATTTGAAGTTTATTTTAAAATTTTAAAGAAAATTTAAAAGGATTTTCAAAGAAAATTTGAAAATTATTTCCAAAACGTGTATTTTATAAAAAAAATTTGAAGTTTATTTTAATTTAAAAGGATTTTCCAAAGAAAATTTGAAAGGATTTTTCAAACAAAATTTAAAAATTTATTTTTTGTTTCAAAAATGTGGATTTTTAAAGAAATTTGAAAGGGATTTTTAAAGTAAATTTAAAAATTATTTCCAAAACGTAGATTTTTAAAAAGAAATTTATTTCCAAAACGTGGATTAAGAAAAAAGAATTGAAAATTATTTCCAAAATGTGAATTTTTAGAGAAAATTTGAAAATTATTTCCAAAACGTGAATTTTTAAAGAAAATTTGAAAATGATTTCCAAAACGTGAATTTTTAGAGAAAATTTGAAATTATTTTCAAAATGCGATTTTTTAAGAAAATTTGAAAGGAATTATTAAAGAAAATTTGAAATTTAAAAAAAAATTGAAAATTATTTCCAAAACGTGGATTTTTAAAGAAAATTTCAAAATTATTTCCAAAACGTGGATTTTTAAAGAAAATTACAAAATTATTTCCAAAACGTGGATTTTTAAAGAAAATTTCAAAATTATTTCCAAAACGTGGATTTTTAAAGAAAATTGCAAAATTATTTCCAAAACGTGGATTTTTAAAGAAAATTTCAAAATTATTTCCAAAACGTGAATTTTTAAAGAAAATTTCAAAATTATTTCCAAAACTTGGATTTTTAAAGAAAATTTCAAAATCATTTCCAAAACGTGGATTTTTAAAGAAAATTTCAAAATTATTTCCAAAACGTGGATTTTTAAGAAAATTTCAAAATTATTTCCAAAACGTGGATTTTTAAAGAAAATTACAAAATTATTTCCAAAACGTGGATTTTTAAAGAAAATTTCAAAATTATTTCCAAAACGTGAATTTTTAAAGAAAATTTCAAAATTATTTCCAAAACTTGGATTTTTAAAGAGAATTTTAAAATCATTTCCAAAACGTGGATTTTTAAAGAAAATTTCAAAATTATTTCCAAAACGTGGATTTTTAAAGAAAATTTCAAAATTATTTCCAAAACGTGGATTTTTAAAGAAAAGTTTAAAATTATTTGCAAAACGTGGATTTTTAAAAAGAAATTTATTTCCAAAATGTGGATTTTTAAAGAACATTTTAAAATTATTTCCAAAACGTGGATTTTTTAAAAAAAATAAAAAATTGAAAGTTATTTCCAAAATGTGGATTTTTAAAGAACATTTTAAAATTATTTCCAAAACGTGGATTTTTTTAAAAAAAAAATTGAAAGTTATTTCCAAAACGTGGATTTAAAAAAATAAATAAAAAATTGAAAGTTATTTCCAAAACGTGGCTTTAAAAAAAATAAAACATTGAAAGTTATTTCCAAAACGTGGATTTTTAAAGAAAATTTTAAAATTATTTCCAAAACGTGGATATTTAAAAAAAAATGGAAAATTATTTCCAAAACGTGGATATTTAAAAAAAATGGAAAATTATTTCCAATTTTTAGAGAAAATTTGAAAAATATTATTATATATATTTTAAAGAAAATTTGAAAGGATTTTCCAAAGAAAATTTGAAAATTGTTTGAGGGTAATATCCAATACCTTGATTTTTTAGAAAATTTGAAAGTTTTTTTTCCAAAAATAAGGATTTTTAAAGCTAATTTAAAAGCAATTTTCAAAGAAAATCTGAAGGCAATTTCCAGGATTTTAAAAGAAAATTTGAATTTTTTAAAGAAAGATTGAATAATTCCTAATTTGGATTTTTAAAGAAAGAAATTGTTAGGAAAATTTAAAATTTTCGTTTTTTTACAATTTTCATTTTTTTTAAAATAAAATAAGATTTATGACCGCTAAAACTTAATAATTTTTTTAAATCTTAAATTTTTTTAAAGTATGACAAAAAAAAAACTTTTGACTGGGCTTTAGGCTTTTCAAACAACATAATTTCTGTTGCAAACTATTTTTAAAAAATCATGGAGTTTTTGAGAAATTTGGCGTTTATTTTTTTATTTATTTATTTTTTTTTTTTTTTGGAAAATTGCATTTTCAAAAACATTTTTTATAAATAATAACTCTCTTTTTTAATTTTTTGAAAATTAAAACAATATTAAAATAATATTTGAAAATCGGCAGTATTAAGGAAAATTATAGACTTATTTAAAACAATTTTTGTTATTCTAAACCTTTTCAAAAAATCGCACCTGTTTTTAAACGATTTTTCAAAAAAAATTGTCTAATTAATTGTCTTAAATCGCAGATTTCCTTTTTGTAAAATGTTCTTGACGGGATTTTTCAGCAATTTTTAACAAATCGGGGACAATGTTTAAGGAAAATTTATAAAAATGCTCTTTAAACGTATATTTTTTATGAAGTAAATGTTATCAGACTGGCAACCCTTTTTCCACACACCTGAATGATTATTACATCAATAAAATACAACCCTGTTCTATGCCACGATGACAAGATCAATGTTCAAATATTGAAGAGAAGAAGAAAAAAAAAACAAAGAGAAATGTTGATTTTATGGTAATAGAGAGAGAACGTGAGAGAGAGAGGGAAAGAAGTGTGGCTCCCCTCAAAGAGCAAAGATGTTGGCGAAGAAAACGGTAATGGTAATGTCAAATAAGGAGAGCAAAATAAAAAGGAATGTGAAAAAATTGTACAATGATAATTAACGCAAAATAAATTAACATATCTACAAACAATGAGGTTATGTGTGTAGAAATGTGGATAGATACATACACACACACGGATTCTCGGAAGGCAATCGTATTCCAATCTAATGTCACGAAAATGCTAAAAGTTACATAAACTTTGGGAGGAGAAATAATCTTAAATAGCTTGCGGTGATGATGATCATGGGGAAATATTTTTAAAAATTTGGTTACCAATTTAATATTTTATTAAAAAGATTTAAGTTTTTTAAATATATAAAGGACTTAAAAAATAATTGTAGGTGGAACTCTTTAAGAACTCCAGCTTTGGTATCTTTTCCAATTTGCAATTTCAAAGTTAACATTTTGTGTGGCTTTTTTTTCATCCATTATTTTGTATGTTCATGTAATTACATTGTATCTGTGTGATTACTTGCATGTGTGTATGTATGTATGTCTACGGGTATGTATGTTTATCCGTGTGTAACATCACAAAATTGTGAAACCAAAAAAAAAAGTCAAGAAAACTTGATCATATTGCTGCTTGGCTTTTTTTCTATACTTTACTCAACTCATAAACTTGTGGCTCTCTTCTCTCACATGATTTCAGGTTCTTTTTTCTCTCTCCCTCACAAATTTAAATTTCTCTCATTTACCTAGCAATTCAAATTGTATCAATTGCTGAATGATAATGAGAAGAGAGATGGTGAGCTCTCTCTCTCACACAAAATCTCCGAATTAACAAACTCGTCATCTTGTATTTTTCTATGACGGAATTTCTTTCCAATGCCCGCCTGTGAGACTTGTCATGTGTATGTGTTGGTAGGTTAGTTGATTTCGTTTTTCGTTTCTGCTGCTGCTTCTTAACAAAACACCAACAACATCGTTGATCGTATGATAGATTTTTACATTTCATCAACAGCATTTTGTTTTTGAGAAAACACACCAACAAAAAGCAATAGCCAACCAACAACCAACTTTTGAACTTTTCTAATATCTCAGCCAAACTTAGCCATCGCCATATTTCAGTCACAAAAACAAATGTTGGAGATACCCGTGAACCGACCGTTCGTCGTACTGTGTAGTTGTGTTAGCTGTGGGGGAAAATAACCGTAAGTGTGGTAAAGAGATGCCTACCTTTTATGCTCTCTCTCTCTCGCCTCTCTGGCAATATCTGTGTGTCGGTTTGTTGTGGGGTCTTTGATATGATGTCAGGGATGGGAGATGTGATTTATTTTACATTTTATTGAATAGCGTATTAAATGTTTTTTTATTCAATAAAGGAAAGTTGAATTGAATGCAAAACAATAAATCATTTTTTAGCGTTTGATCTCTTTATTAAAGACATAGGAGATTTTTAATGTGATCTGTTTAGAAAATATCAAACGTAGGTATTAAAACAAATCTTAAAAATCGGGACTCAAAACAGAAACAGAAATAATGGATAAAACTGATAGATAAATAAAAAACATAACATAAAAGCATAAACAAATACATAAATAAAAATAAGAAATAAATAAAATAAAAAATAAATAAAAATAAGAATTAATAATAATAATATAAATAATAATTAAATATTAATAATAATATTATTAATAAAATATATTCAATCATTAAATATTCCGAAATTGCAGTTTTTTATAAAGTGAGAGTACTTTTAAAAGAATAATTTGAAGATTTTAGAATTCTTAAATAAGGAAAAGTTTAAAAAGCCTGTTTATATTACAATAGTCTGAGCGAATTTAGCGGACTGTTATTGCCTTGAAGTTCAGTAAGCACTGTCGAATATCAGCGGAGTATTGGTAGATTTTGGAAGAGTACGACTATTAGAGGAGCGAAGATTTTATTTATAAAGATCGTCAATCGAGAACATTTTAAATAATAATATTAAAAATCGTGAATTTTTTGAATAGAAATATAACAAAAATCTCTACTTGTATTTTTTTTAATGAATTATACCTTCAAATGCCTTCTTTTTGTGAGACGAATATCATGAACTAGCCTTTTTAATAAATTAATAAAAATACCGAATATAAGGAGATACTAATATATGTGGGCTGTACCAGAACGTGGACCTGCACAGATAATTTTTTGTCATAGACTGTAGTATCCATTTCGAACTTCAAATAAAAAATTTGAAACAATTCCGGTGAATAATGTCGCTAAAATCATCAAAATACCGAACATAGGAAAATACCGATATATGGGGGATATACGAAGACCTGGACCTGCGAAGGCTACAGTACCCAGAACGGATTTCACATACCAAATTTGAAACAATTCCCGTGAAAAAAGTCGCTAAAATCAACAAAACACCGAATATCGGGAGGTACCGTTATATGGGGGCAACACGAAGATGTGGATCTGCACAGATAATTTTCTATCATAGACTGTAGTATCCATTACTAACTTCAAATACCAGTCGCTAAAATCATCAAAATACCCAATATCGGGAGGTACCGATATTTAGGGTCTATACGAACAATTGGACCTGCAGAGACAATTTTCTGTCTTAGGCTGTAGTATCCATTACGAAGCGCAAATACGAAATTCCGATAAATAATGTCGCTAAAATCATCAAAATACCGAATATCGGGAGGTACCGATATTTAGGGTCTATACGAACAACTGGGCCTGCAGAGACAATTTTCTGTCTTAGGCTGTAGTATCCATTTCGAATTTCAAATATCAAATTTGAAGAAATTCCAGTGAATAATGTTGCTAAAATCATCAAAATACCGAATATCGGGAGGTACCCTTTTATGTGGGAGCTATACGAAGACGTGAACCTACATGACCCATTTTCAATAGAAAAAGTTCTGCCGACATAATATACACATGAGTAAAATTTTATCAATCTACTTCATTTCGTTCGGAAGCTAGATTGATTTTCACAGATGGACAGACGAACGGACATCGCTTAATCGACATAGAATTTTATGCTGACCAAGAATTTGTGGGGTCTAAAATGTATATTTCCAGGTGTTACAAACGGAATGACAAACTTAATATACCCTCCATACTAGGCTGGATTCGGTCGTAAATTCACTCCATTTGGGCTGATATTAGCCATTTGGTACACAATAAACATTAAATCGGATAAAGATTTATATGGGAGCTATATCAAAATCTGAACCGATCTCGCTAAATTTAGGCAGAAGTATTTCTGAGCTGCATTTGATATATTTCTGCCAATATCGTTGTTAAGAAGTGGAGGAGAAATTTAACAAATCTGATGAAGAATATATTTGGGAGCTATCGCTATATCTGAACCGATTTCGATCAAATTTTACAGACTTCTTTCTAGGCCAAGTTTGGTAGAATGTACCAAATTCCATCCTATTGGGACTAATATTACACATATGGTGCGTCGAGCAAAGATATATATGGGAGCTATATCTAAATTTTGACCGATTATCTCCAATTTCATTTGGGTTTGTCCTTGGATCAAACGAATGCTTTATGCAAAGTTTCATCTTAATTGGGTGATTAATGCGACCTGTACTTTGTTGACAAAAATGCATGGACAGACGGACGGACATGCATAGATCGAATCAGAATGCGATTCTATGCAGATCATCAAAAGGAAATTTTTTTAGACGTAATGGTAGCATGCTACACAGGAACCAATACCCAAGGACCGCTTTCGCATTACTTCGGGGTACAGTTCACTGACTGGTCTATGCCTTCATATTTTATATACTCCCCCATCCACATTTTTCATGCTATGATTAGGGGTTCGCTTGTTGTCTTCACTCGTATAGAGTTTTCTACGTCATTATATCTTGGATATAAATTGCATATTTCATCCATTGTTGTTTTGATTCCAGCATTTCTGTTATTGTTTCAAATTTAGGGGAACACAATTCTATATGGTATTCTCTATTTATACTAATTTTTTTTATTACAAAAATTTCGGCGTTTTAAAAATGATTGTCAGCTTCTTATTGACGGGCTGGCATGTAGTTTATAGCAGCGATGCTCAAGAAAAAATATCTCTTTCCAGTCAAATTTCTCTTTGCTTATTTAAATCAAGAACAAAACAGTGTTAAGTCATTATTCATACAATATTTTTTATCCATTTGCTTTATAAATTATTTTGTCAAACATATACATTTAAAAACAATTAAATGAACTCGTAAAATATAAAGAAATACAGAATTTTAATTTTCTCTTAAATTATCTCTTTTTTCGGCTCATGTTCTAGAACACGGTTTACTTTCCCTGTAAATTTAACATTTCACTAGTTTCGCCATTAAAAATGTAAAAAAAAAACCAAACATTTAACTTTGTTTTAACTCAATAATCTCAAACATCCATCCCTGGATGATAGTAGAGTTTTCATATATGCTGAGAGCATGCCACCAATCCAATTGAGAGCAGAGACGACTTGTTGATGACTATTGTTGTGTTGTGTGTGGGGTTTTTCGATATTCACTGAACAGTGCGAGCGTGCGAGAGTCGTTGACGGCCGTCCAACGGTCTCGGTGTGCTAATAATTGTGCTCTCTGTTGGGGAGAAGTGAATACCACAACTCTCATCGGAGGTGAGCTTACATTTGTTGTTGCTGCTATTGTTAGTTGTGCTTGTGTTTGCATTTGTTGTTGTTGTTGCTGCTGCTCAGTTTGATTTGTGATTTTCACATTTCATTAATGGACGGGGCAACACAAAAACAACTTCGATTTTTAGTTAATTCTTGGCTCTCGCATGGAGTAGAAGTGTTGTGTGGATGGATACTCGTCGTCTCGCGGTCTTCTTTTGGTTTCTGCTTCTGCTTCTTCTTCTTTGTGTTATTGTGTGATTATCGCCGTCGTTGCCGTTTTACAACAAAAAGAAAAAATAGTTTGGTTTGTGTGCTCATTTGTTGTTTGCTCGCTCGTTCGCTCATTGAATATCTTCGGTTGGTGTGTTGGCTGGTACTGGCGGCTAGTTACAGTTTAGCAACGTTATTTGGATGGTGATGATGATGATGAGGTGTTGTTGTTGGTGTTCTTGTTGTGTGGATCACATGAAGTCTGAATAACGTTGTCATCCATCGTCGTCATTTGTCGTTGTTGTTGTTAGTGTGAATATTAGTTGTTGCTTTATTTTGTGTGATTAATTTTTGTTGTTTGTATTTCAAAGCAGACCAAGAAAGAAAAATAAAGAGCAAAAGTAAATTAAACAAAAAAAGACCAAGAAAAATCATGATGATGGTGATCATGATTGGTATGGCCGACCATGCTACTCAGAGTAAATAGAGAAGAGATAGAGAGATAGTGAGAGGGGAAAATTGTAAGTGCCTGAGATTGCTTGCTTATTGTGGTAGTGGAGCTAAGCTCTGCTCTTTTTTTTTGTCAGCCGTTCTCCCCACCAATACTTATCGACAACGGTAACAGCAGCAGCAGCAACAACAACAACAATACTCATTTATCCGTAAATAAAAATAGGAAGAAGAAGACTGCAGTGCAATTGTATCTAACTAAAATTTTAAATAAAACTCAGCAGAGTGGCTGACGAACGGATTCGATTTTTTTTTGTATTGAGAAGTTTAAAAAAATGCCGATACGAAGATGTTGGCAAAACATAAGTGAAATAAAAACAAAAGCATGAGTAATGGAATGTAAATGAATTATGGAATGAGAAATAAAACGTGATTTAATAAAAAATAAAGAAACAAACAAAAACACGTGTGATAAAAGAGCAACAAAAAAAGGAACTGAGAAAAAATATTTGTTTGTGTTTTAGAAAAAGTAGAAGAAAAACAAAGTAAACAAAAAATAAAATAAAAAACAGCAAAGCAAAGCCACTGTGATAACAACAATTTTCGCTGCAAGAAATGCCGCCAAAAAAAGATCCAAACGTCCACAATAACAGCAACAACAACAGCGAAACAGTAACCCAATCAACAGAGACCACCACAACAAGTGGCGCTGCCTCCAATACAACAACAAATAATTCTGCCGTTGCTGCTGCCACCGCCAACTCCCCCAATATGTCGGAAAATACGGCAGCCGAGCAGCGTACCGTTGCCTTCCATGCCAATGCCAAACTATGCCGTTTGGTACGCAAATGTCCCTGGATGTACGATCGCAACCATCAAAATTATGCCAAGAAACATATTTTGGACAAGTCATGGTGTAAAATTGCCCGGGAATGTAATGATTCGGGTAAGTGTTAAATGGAACTTGGGGGGGGGGGGGGGGGGTAGTGAATTTTCCCCAAATTAGATGATATGGTAACTCTGTAATGGTGTTACAGACGGATGGACGGACGAATGAACGACAGTCAGTGTCCATGAAAGAGTAGGGGTGAAGAGAGAAGAGTATTTTTTGTTGCCGCATAAATTTTTAAGAGTAATCTGAGGAGAAAGAAAGAGAGAGATAGAGAGAGACGTTAATGATGTTTATCTGTTGCGGACAGCAGTGTTGCCACAACACATTCAAATACTGAATTTTCATAGATTTATTTGACGTAAAAAGGGGTAAATCGTTGAAAATAATCTCGACTAATCACAAAACTTGACTAAATGTGAATTTTTGCCTAGAGTTTTTTTGAAATAATTTCTCTATATTTTGTTGACTTTCATTTTGGTCACTTTTGTCAATTATTATTTTGGTTTAACCAAAGATTAGTAAAAGCTTACTTTTTTTTGAAATTTTTTTTCAGTGGTAGGTTTTTTTTATCCTGATTCTGGTAAACAATTTTTTTTGGGGGACGGACCCATGACCCCAGATTTTTGAAGGCCCGTGCTAAACCCGGATCCACTTACCCGATATAGACAATATAGGTATCGCTGGAAAGCTTATAAAAATACCTATCCAACATTTTGGTCAGCTATAACTTGGCATCAAATTTGTTGACCCACATAATGGGTCCTTGATCGACTTTTTGGGAGTTTTATAAAAAATCCGGGTGCAAAAAATCGATCATTTGACTATAACATCCTAACCGCTTTAAATAACCCCATCATGTGATCACTTGTTGGTATTTTTTATAGGCTTTCAAACGATATCGGGTAAAAACTCTGGGGTACCGGGTTCGTCCCCCAAGAAAAAAATTGTTTCCCGGAATCAGGTTACAAAATACATACCGTTGGAAAAAAATTTTATTCTGAAGAAATTAATCAAAAATTTGGTCCGTTTAAAGTTAGGTCGTATATTTTTGGACGATTTTAATTGAAATCAAAGATGTCTTTTTATTTATTTTTAATTAAGTAAATAAAAAAATAAAAATATAGATCGATTTTGGTTTTGGTTGAATTTTTTAGATGATTTTTATTTTGGTCGGTTTTTTTTTAAAAAATATTTTTTTAAACAATTTTTTCGGTTGGATCGAGCGAGTAATGTGTTATTAGGTCACCTATGAATGGGCCTTTGTTTTGGAAGGATTTCCCGTTTTTTAGCCCCAAATTTTTTGGTCTGGTCAGTTCTCATTTTGTCACTTGTATATTTTTTTGACGTGCTTTTTCATGTTTTTTTGATTACCAATAGAAACAATTGTTTTTTTTTCTGCGAATAAATCAAAATTTTTGTCCCTCTTAACTTTGGTCGAATATTTTTGGGCGGATTTTATTTTGGTTGAAAATTACTTTTTGAGTACTATTATTTTTTCCAAACAAAAATACAACGAATTTTGATTTTCAATCAATTTTTTAGAAAAGTTTTTCAATTTTTTTGATTTTGGTCGGTTTAAAAAAATAGCTAATTTTTCCTAGTTTTTTTACGGATTAGCAATAATTTCTCTGCCTTACTAGTACTATTACACTTTTTCTAGTACAAATATACAACACATTTTGATTTTAACCGAACATTTGAGGCTGGGTCTTTTATTTTGGTCGGTTTTTATAGAAATATTTTTCAGGTTTTTTTTTCCTTTGTTTTCCACCGATTAACATTAATTCCTCTACTTTTCGGTCAGAAACGCTGGAAATTGACATAAACTTGAAAAATGTTGGAATGTTCGAAATTACTTTTTTTTTGGTCGAGTTTCTTTTGGCTGTATTTATTACTTATATTTTATCTTGTGTTTTTTTTGCACCAATTATTAATGATAGAAACAAAACTTATTGTGCAAAATAAGCAAAATTTTTATGCTTTTTAATTTTGGTCGAATATATTGGAACGATTTTTATTTTGGTCGGATTTTTTTGGATTTTATTTTTTTCCAAACGAAAAATAAACACCAAAGAGTCAATCATTGTGCAAAATAAGCCAATTTTTGTCCACTATAATTTTGGTCGAATTGGGTCGAAACTATTGGGACGATTTTATTTTGGTCGGAAATAATTTTTTTGACATCTTATTTTTTTCAAACAAAACAAAAAAAACACAAAAAGGCCAATTGATCGATTTTGGCTATGGTGGAACAAATTTAAGACGTTATTATTTTGGGCACTTTTTATTTTTATCAATAATTCCTTCATTTTTCGGTTGGAAAGCTGGAAGCTAAATAAGCTAAATTTTTATCCTTTTTAATTTTGGTCGAATATATATGGAGAAGATTTTATTTTGGTCGGAAATTTTTTTTCCCAAACGAAAAATAAACACCAAAGTGTCAATCATTGTGCAAAATAGGCAGAATTTTTGTCTATTATAATTTTGGTCGAATATATTGGAACGATTTTAGTTTGGTCGGAAATTATTTTTTTTTTCGGTATTTTATTTTTTCAAACGATTTTGTCTATGGTCGAATAAATTTAAGACATTATTTTGGTCGGTTTTTATTTTTATCAATAATTCCTTAATTTTTCGATTGGTGACGGTGGAAGCTAAAGCGAACTTTTCGAAGCGTATATCCACAAAAAAGGACAAAATATTCGCATTACATTTTTTGGTCGATTTTCATTTTGGAGGCACCTACATACTATTTTTCTTGCGTTCTTACCCGTGAAAAATTATGTCAGCAATAGAATTATTTTTTATTCTGCAAAACATGAAGTATTTTGTTCATTTTAATTTTGGTCGAATATTTTTGATTGGTTTTATTTTGGTCCGAAATTTTAAAAATTTTGACTTTGGTCGAACATATTCAATTCGTTATTATTTTGGTCATAAATTCTCTCAGTTTTCTTCACTTTACTTGGCGGAAAATATTTTTGGTCGAGTTTGATTTTGGTCGTTTTTATCTTTTTAATGCCTATTAAGTATCAAGCACAACGCTTTTGGTTTTCTCAAAACTTTTGGTCAGTTTTGAATTTGGTCGACATTTTTTGGCCGGATTATTGGTCGGTTTTTATTTAGAACACGCACTAAAGCATAAGTCCAACATTTTCATTTTTATCAAAATTTTTGATACGATTTAGAATTTGGTCGGATTTTTTTTTGGCCGGTATGAAGACGTGCGTCGATTTGAATAAGTCCTACAAAAATAAGGTTACTTCAATCAATCAAAAAAAAACTACATTTTTTTTGAAAATTTGTAAATTTTGTGATTTTTTTTTAATTTTTGGTCGGTTCTGCTGCTGAAACACATTTATAGTGATCGGTATCTTATTTTGGTCGAAAAAAATTATCAGTTTTTTAAACGTTGAGCAAATTAATTTGCAACCTATTTTTCAAATTTCTATGAATAATATCCTACTCGTGAACAAAGTTGGGTCTTTTCCCCATAGTTCTTTAACATTTATTTTGTTACTTTTATCAGCGGTGCTCAAAACCGTGTTCTAGAACATGAAGAGAAAAAAGAGATAATTGAAGAGAAAATTAAAATTCTGTTTTTCTTTATATTTTACGGTTCTATTTAATTGTTTTTAAACACGAATGTTTGCCAAAATAATTTATAAAACAAATGGATAAAAAATATTTGTATAAATAATGATTTAACACTGTTTTGTTCTTGATTTAAATAAGCAAAGAGAAATTTGACTGAAAAGAGATATTTTTTCTTGAGCACCCCTGCTTTTATATTTTGTTTACATTCTCTCTCTCTCTCTCTCTCTCTCTTAGATTTCCAATAAGCATTGTTATTTGAAATGATATTCATTTCTTTCTTTGTGGTCATTCCCCGTTTTCTTGTTTTAATTTCATCAATGTTTCCTTTCTCTCCGCCTCTCTCCATCACTTCATCACACACCAATAGGTTATTTTTTTGTTATTCCTTCATTGCTCCGATTTCTTCATCATCTTTCGTTGTTTCTTTTGTTTCGTTCTTTTGCTTGGTGGTATTATACCAAAGTCTGGTCGCAATGTGATAATGATTCATAGCATTGCGTTGCGTGCCTGTCCCTGTCTGAGAGATATACACAAGAGTGATGATGTGTGTGCGTTTTGTTTTTTTTTTTTGTGGGAGAGAGGAAAAATGTGAGAGTGGGATCGATTGTGAGCAAGGCAACGCAAGAACAGGTTTGATTATTTACATACGATTACCAGTTGATTGTTGTTACATTTGATGACGTATGGATGGCAATTTAGCTGACTGGCGTTATCATAAAAAGAGAGCATCGGGTTTAAAGAGTACTTGTGGGGCGACTTCTATTATTTGGCGAGCATATGCAGATAGTTATGGTGAAATTAGTTAAATGTTACGGTATGATACGCTATGGGACTAGAGACTATATGTAGCAGACTAAAAGACGACTTACGGAGATCTTTTTTGGACCGATCCTGTGTATAGAAAATCTCCAAGGGGTCCAATACATATTTTTTATGTTGGCGACCAAAAAGGTGTCTTCTGTATAAAGAAGATCTCCCAGAGGTCTATGAGGTCTTCTCCGTACAAGAAACCTAGCAGGAGACTTATCTGTATTGAAGACATTCCAGAATTCATCTCTTCACAGAAGATTTTAAAAGACGCCTGCCCTGTATAGATGAGATATCCAAGAGGCCTTCCCTATACAGAAGAATTTCTATCTATTGGAGACCTCACAGAGGACTTCTTTTTATAGAAAACTTCCCAGAGGTTTCCTGTGGGTAAAATATACCCAGAGGCCTTTTGGACAGAGACCACCTTGGGAGATCTTTATGGAAGAGAGCATCCTGAGGCCTTCTTCGTAGAGAAGACTTTATGAGGGTCCAAGAGAAAACTTCCCAGAGGTTTCCCTTGTGTAAAATATACCCAGAGGCCTTTTGGACAGAGACCACCTTGGGGGATCTTTAAGAAAGAGAGCATTCTGAGGCCTTCTTAGTACAGAAGGCTTTATGGGGGTCCAAGAGGATATTTCGAATGATTTTTTTTGCCTTTTTTAAGACCTCCAAGAGTCCTTATAACTATTGAAGGCCTCGACCAAAAACCCCAACAGAGAACATTTCTGCACAGAAGACCTGCCAGAGTTCGTGTCTCCATAGAAGATTTTCCAGACGCCTGTTCTGGATAGAAGAGATCTCCAAGAGGCCTTCTCTGTACAGCAGAGGGTTTCACTCAGTAGGAGACCTCACAGAGGCCTTCTTTTATAGAAAACTTCCCAGAGGTTTCCTCTGTGTAAAACAAACCCCAGAGGTTTTTTCTCTTAGACGACTTTTTGGCAGAGAGTACCTTGGGAGATCTTTTAAGGAAGGGAGCATTCTGAGGCCTTCTTTGTACAGAAGACTTCATGAGGGTCCAAGAGGACCCTTAGAATTGCTTTTTTACCTTTTTAAGACCTCCAAGGGGCTTTCTAGCCATTGAAGACCTCGGATGCTTCTTCCTCACTCTCTCTCTCTCTGTAAGAGACTTCTAAAACTTCTTCTACACAGAGAAGACCTCTTGAAGGTCGTTTCGACAGAGAGCCCCGAGGTCTTCTTAAGAGAACTCACAGAATAGAAGACATTTTGAAGGTCCAAGAGGACCAACAGATTTAAATATTTGTTCCTTCTTGTTATGACCTTTAAGAAGTTTTCCGGTCCCTTTCTTCTCTTTCTGAAAGACCTCCAAGAGTCCTTATATAAAAGGGAGAACTCTTCAAGGTATTTTAGACAGAGGTCTTCTCTACACAGAGAAAACCTCTTGAAGGTCGTTTAGAGTGCCCTGAGTTCTTCCCAAGAGGACTCAAAGAATAGAAGACATTTTGAAGGTCCAAGAGGACCAACAGAATTAAATCTTTTTTGCCTTCTTGTTATGACTTTCAAGAGGTATTCTGGTCCCCTTTCTTCTCTCTCTGAAAGACCTCCAAGAGTTGTTCTATAAAAGGGAGATCTCTTAAAGGTCTTTTAAACAGAGGTCTTCTCGGAAGGACCACTTTCATTTTCCATTTTTAAAAACTTACTAATTTTCTCTCTCTTCTTTCCAGTTGCCTCCTGCAAGGAGCGATGGCGCAACATTCGTGCCGCCTTTGCCCGTTCCATAAATATTTACAAAACTCACAGTGGTCCGAATCGCATCAAACCCTACTATCTACACAAGGAGCTTTCGTTTCTGGTCAAACCAATGATGGAGGGTCGCGACAAGTCGGAAGAGACCCATGACATTTCGGAGAACAGTGTGCAAAAGGAAGAATTCACCGAGGGCGAAGAGGAAGAAGATGATGTCGACTTTGAAGATGATGATCAACAGCCAGATGCGGATTACGACGATGGCCTGCAGGACAATAGCAGCATTGATATAAAATCTGCCTTTGAGGCCCTAAATCCCGACATAACCATACAAACTGAGGGTAAATTGCACAAGACGCTGAAGGACTATCAGAACAGTCAAAAACGTGAAAACCAACACCACCACCTCAATGGCAATGATTATGACAATAATTCGGGAATATATGAAAGTCATGGTGACTTCTCGACCAGTGATGCTGAACATGAGTTCCATGATGGTCGATTTGATGATACAATGTCTCAGACAACTGAAACTGATCGCCGACTGATGTCGAATCATCATGGCAATCCATTGAAACGGCCCATGCATTTGGAAACGGAGACGTATGAAATGAAGAGATTAAAATTCAATTCAATACCCTTGGGGACAAGTGAGGCAGATTTGCGTTTCCTCGAGGCTTTGTTGCCCGACATGGCTTTGATGAACACCCGGCAGAAAATTATATTCAAAAGGAAAATTTATCAAACCCTGGAGGAGGTGTTTGAAAATGTCAATGATTTTCCAAATCTCAACAGTGATATGCAGCAGCATCAGCAGCAGAATGCTAGTGGTATATCCATCGCCAGGCAAGGTGGTGGTGGCATGGGAGGAGGATCACTAACAACGACCATTATGAATAATGGCGGAGGGCACAATTTAAATAATTCCAACTCCAGCACCACCACTACCACCATGCAGGGCGGGTCCCAGGTCAAGCAAACGGTGTTGACAGTCAACTCCTCGACGGCTCGAAATCTGATCAACAACATTGCCAATTTGAATGAGGCCGAGTTGCAAAAGGTCAACGGTTTTCTGCAGTCCTCATTGCGTAGCGTCAACATAAGTGTGAATTCCAATCACAACAACAATGCCAACAACAGCAACAATAACACTCTCAACCACAATACAACAAATATTACCACCACACGTCTGAGTAATGGCACCTCAGCCACCATAATACCGGCCAGTAGTGCAGCCGCCCGTCTCCTGCAGTCCACACCGAAAATCACCATAACTAAGGTGACATGTCCACCACCGGCATCGCTGCGTAACATGACCATGGTGAATAAGGCAACATCACCCAATACCGGTACCGTTTCAACGACCATACATCATAACCCGGCGGCACCCATTATGACATCGAATGTTCACTCAACCACATCTTCCAGTACACCAGCCGGGGGCGCCGCCCAGCTGAATGGCGGCCAACAACAAAATGCATCGACCACAGTCACCAGTATCACTACCACCAACGGCACCACCACACCATCAACCTCCTCGGGATCATGGACTCAAATAATGCCAATTGCCATTAAAGATGAAATCGAAGATGTGGACATCGATTGACCCAAATTGCAGCAGGTCAAGGCAGGGGGGAAGGCCGGCGATATGCCAGAAGATGATGGATTAAGTTTAGAAACGTCACCACCACCACGTATATTTGTAAAAAAGATAGGTTATCTTAAGTGATGTGTTAGGAAAGGGTTTTTCTGTGGATTTTAAATTTTAAAAAATAGTTTTAGTTAAAATTTCCAATTTCCAGAACCATAACCAAGTGACCTTATATTGGAGAGATTTAGTGAGCATAGCTTTTTACGAAAGTCCTTTTAGAGCCTAATATGTATAGCTGTAATATAGAAGCCTTCGAAGGTTTTTTTGGCCAGAAAAATATATAAAGTTCCTCAAAACATGGAGAACCTGATAAAAATCTTCTCTGTGGGTGAAGGTATTTTTTGGATCTAGAAGTCTTCCAGATAGTAGCATTTAGAAGGATTCCTTGTAAAAGGCCATTTTAGAGGTCTTCAGGATACAGGATGTCTTTTTTGAGGTTTTCTATATTCAAGATAATTTCTAGAAATCATGATAAGGCCTCTAAAAATTACGGACTCTTATAAAGATATCCAGCATATAAATAAAGGCTTCCATTACACAGAAAAAACTCATAGGGGCTTCTAAACAAACAATACCGTTCAGAGTTCTCCTAGGCATAAAGTACATCGAAGAGGCTTTCTGGAGATTGAATAACATCCCCAAATATGCTAGATTTAGAAAATGTTCTAGACACCTTCTATATTCTGAAAACTTTCTAAATGCTTTCTTTGACCTTTGCCGATGACCCTCTAGAACATCTAAACGCTTTCCATTCTTAGAATACTTTCCAGATGACTTTTAGTTAAAGAAACCTTTAAGACAAAGAAAGGAATGCTCTCCTCGCATAAACTTTCTATACATGTAGAAGTCTTCTAGATGTACTTGTTAGACATAAAATACCTGGTATATGTTTAGAAGACATTCTATTCCCAGAAGATCTGTGGTGGTCTCCTGTACCCTAAAAACTTTTTAGAGGCATTTTGTTCAGAGGAAGTCCTTTAGAGATCTTCTAGACATTCTGTGCACCGAACATATATTAGAGGAATTCTAGATAAAGAAGACTTTGCAGAAGCTTTCTAAAGGAAGTAGACCATCTACATGTATTGTCGAGTTAGAGGACATTTTAGACATATTTTTCCCAGGAAACCTTTTATGGACCTTCTATGTCTAGAAGACCTTCTTAAGGCCTTCCATGCTAAGAAGACTCTCTAGAATTTCTAAAAGCCTCATATTTCTAAAATAACTTCTCAAGAACTTAGAGTTCCTCTACTCGGGATCTTTTGTACCATGAATAGCCTTGAACCCCAAAATACATAACACATTCTTTCCACACTTCGATAAAGTTGTAGAAGTCTTCCAGAGAAAACCATCTACATGCATTGTAGATTTAGAAAATCTTTTAGACATATTTTTTCCCCAATGAGACTTTCTATGGGCCTTCTATGCCTAGAAGACCTTTTTAAAGCCTTCCATACCAAGAAAACCATCTAGAACTTCTAAAAGCCTTCTATTTCTAGAATAACTTCTCAAGAACTCGAAGAAGCTCTTCTTAGGATCTTTTGGATCATGAATAGCATTGAAATTTAAATACATAACACATTTTTTCCACACTTTGAAGAACTTGTATAAGACACCATCTAAATGCTTTCTCTGTCCAAAATATTCTCCAGAGGCATACTATACACCAAAGAAATTCTACAGACCTTCTCTGTCGAGAAGACCTTCAAGAGGCCTTTTAAATAGAAGAGCTCTTCTGGGCATTTCGACACTTCTGGGAGCATTCAGGACACAGAATTCTCTGCAGAGGCTGACTATTCATAAAATAACTCGAAGAGACTTCTTTATATAGAAAATCTTCTAGATGTAGACCAGGCATGGAAGATCTTTTAACTGTGTGTAGACCAGGCATGGAAGACCTTTTAACTGTGATCTATATTTAGAAGGCCTTTTAAAGGTATTCTTTACACAGAGAACCTTCTAGAGACCTTCTATTCCCAGAAGAGCTTCTAGGGGTCTCCTATACTGTAAATAACTTCTAGAGGTCTTCTATAACAAGAAGACCTTTAAGAGGCCTTTTGGTTAGAGGAGAACTTCTAGAGATCTTTTGGAAAATAAAGAGCTGCTTAGGCATTCTCGACACAGAATAATTTTGCTAGATTACCGTGTTGAATTCTTCTAAATTCCGAAAAACTTCCACAGTTATTCCAGACATAGTAAACCTTTCAGACGCGTCCTGTATTTAGGAAACCGTTTAGAGTTCTTTCTTTATATGAAGAAGACCTTCTGGATGCCTTCTCTGCCAATAATACATTTTAGAAGCCTTTTGAGTGGAGGATATCTTCAAAAATCTGCTTCACAATTAAGACCTTCAAGGGGTTTTCTGGACAGAGAAACTTCTTTTAGAGACTTTCTGTGGAATGGAAGATCTTGCAGAATTCTTCTAAACCTTGAAAATCTTTTAAGGGTTCTCTAGGCATAGAAGGCTTTCAAAGGGTCTTGTCTGACCTTCTAGGGGTTTCCTATATACCAAAAACTTCTAGAGAACTTGTTTGCCGAAAAAAACCTTCCTGAGTCTTGTTAGTCAAGGGAGTTCTTCTTCAGCCATTTTGATCACAGAATATCTCTTGGAGAGTTTCTACAAATTGAAGACCTCTTCTGGGGTTCCTCTAGTTATAGATGCTTTCCAAAGATTTTCTTTGCACAGATGATCTTTTCAAATGATGGAATTCTTTTATATCGTGAGAGGATCTTAGAAAGATCTTCTATGCAATGAAGAATTTCTGTGGAATGGAAGATCTTGTATAATCCTTCTAAACCTTAAAAACCTTCTAGGGGTTCTCTAGCCATAGGAGGCCAGAAAAACTTCTAGAGGAGCTCTGGCCAAAAAAACTTCTAGAGGTTTGAGGTGTTCTTCTACAAATCTGCTGGATTATGAAGACCTTGTAGGGGCATTTTGGGCACAGAATACCTCTTAGAAATTTTCTATTAAAGACCCCTTCTGGGGTCTATAGTTGGCTTTCCAAAGATGTTTCTTTGGTTTTGGCTTTCCAAGGTCACAAGAATAGTTTATTAACATATCCCCTTCTTCAAATTTATATAATTAGTCAGTTCAATAGTTATTTACAAAGAGATATCCCCCTTCTTTCCTTGGGAATTTCCTCAAAGTAAAAATCTCAAAAAAAAAAAGAGGTCTTCGAATATCCATTTTCTCCGGTTAATATTTTTTCAATGGGAAAAATAAACCAATTCCCTAATGCTGACAAAAATACCAGACAGAATGTCATTTAGATGAAAAAAATTCCTTTTTGTAACAACTTGGTCTTAGTTTTGTCTTTCCAAGGTCACAATAATAGTTTATTAACATATCCCCTTCTTCAAATTTATATAATCACTCAATTCAATATTTATTTACAAAGATTTATCACTCTTCTTTCCTTGGGAATTCCCTCAAAGTATAAATCTCAAATGGTGAATATTTCCGGTGAAAATTTTTTCAATGGGAAAAATAAAACAATTCCCCAATGCTGACAATAATACCAGGCAGTCGGAGACATAACACCCTCTAATCATCCCTTCGCCTTTACCTTTAGTTTAAGTCTTTTTTTATTTGGCTTTTAAGTTTTAATTAGGGTTTAAGTTTTAATTTTAACTTAATTTTCATTTTATTTTTCTCTTTTTTTATTAAACTGCATGAAAGGTTTACAGACTTGCAGCAATTTACAAACAACTCCAACAACTTTACAAAAGTACTTGTTACCCCAAATATTTATACGATAACCCATAAAACTCCCTATTATTCTTTGCTTCTAATCTGTAATATCCCCTTTTTCTAAAAAAGGGTTTCATTTCATTTAAAATTAGTTTGCCTTTTTTAATGTAAATCTTTACTTTTATATTCATTGTGTTTTTAAATTTTATATTTATCTCTCTTTTAATTTTAATTTAGTTTTTTTTTTAATTTGTTTATGTTTTATTTAAACGATTTCTTTTTGTAAGATTTAAGTTTTACTATTCTTAGAGTTTACAATATTTAAATTGTAGCTCTAGATCTTTTTGTCCAACCAATCCAAATACAACATTGTTTTGTTAAGTACTTAATTTGTAAGTAAATTTATTATTAATATTAATATTACTAATTTTTTTACTTTTTATAACACACCTTATTTTGGTAATTAAGTATTTGTTGTAATTGTTTTATTAATAATAAAAAATATATAATATATTTAAAGAATTTTGAAAGGACTAAAAATGACATCTCGCATGGGCTCAGTAACTCCACACCATGGCCTTTATTGCGAATAGAGGAAAATCTCTCAAGATTTGGAAAATATTTTTTATAGTATTAAAAAACTTCAAAATGTGTTCTATTCCATGGATCCTCTTGAGACGACCTAGGGGTTCTCTGTCGAAACGACCTTAAATATATCTTCCCTGTATAGAAGAAGTTTTAGAAGTCTCTTACACAGAGAGAGAGAAAAAAAGAAGCTTTCGAAGTCTTCAATAGTTAGAAGGCCTATTGAAGGTCTTAAAAAGGCAAAAAAGCCATTCTAGGTTCCTCTTGGACATTCATAAAGGCTTAAGAAGAAGACCTCATGATGTCCTCTTCTTTAAAAAAGCTTTCGAAGTTGTCAATAGCTAGAAAGCCTCTTGGAGGTCTTAAAAAGGCAAAAAAAATCATTCTAGGGTCCTCTTGGACCTTCATAAAGGCTGAAGAAGAAGACCTCATGATGCCCTCTTCTTTAAAGATATCCCAAGGCGCTCTCTGCCCAAAAGACGTTCAAGAGAAAATACCTCTGGGGTGTTTTTTATGCAGAGAAAATCTCTGTAAAGTTTCCAATGAAGAGAAGAGCTCATTGAGGCCATAGAGAACCTCTATTGTACAGAAAAGGCGTCTTAGAAGTTTCTTCTATGCAGAGCAGACATCTTGGAAACTTTCTATGAAGACATAAACTCTGGAAGGTCTTCTACAGGGTGAGATGAAAAAATTTGCAACCAACTTCAGACTGTAATTTCTAAGCCACTAGTTCGACAGCTGTTAAAATTTTTCCAGTGATAGCTCATTATATTTTTTACAAGCGTACAAAAGCATTTTGGTGAGAATTTTCCGGAAACAAATTGTTACTCGTGATGGAATTCAAGCGTGATGGTGTGATTTCTTTACATTTGGCTGGAAAACCACGAGTGGTCATCGTTAGAGCTCTACAGCATTTAAATGTGAATAAATATTTTTTTGTAATCATAGTAATTTTGTATATAGCGCCTAAAAGTATGCTTCATTCTTATGCACTGTTTCTATTCTTATTTCAACATGGATCATTTTTCACCACATTTTCGTATACATCCAAAAAGTATGGTAAATATTTGACATATTTTATGAACTCATATCAGCATTTTCCAAGGGCAGAGTTGTTAATTTTTGGTCGGACGTTGGAATAAAGGCGATGCTGAAATTGTTAAATTGAACTTAGATCTGGATGTCATATTGAATGAAAAGGCCAGATCGCAAGTAGGTACACTTGCGATATTACATTTGTACTTTTCCTTTTCAGATTCCTCGTCCGGAAATGGTTTCAGTGGATACGCCAGAAAATTTTCTCATTGGGCTTACTATCCAATCTGAGTTAGTCTAAACCGCAAAGCTTCAGATTCATGGGATTGAGATAAAATGCCGTAGCGGATGAAGAGTTCACGACCATCCAGTGCAAGTAGTTGTTGCAGTACCCAGTTATTAATCTACCTATTTATCTTTTGTTTTTCTTTTTTCAGGTACTACCATACTTCATTGTTGCTTGATTTCATTGCTGCCAAACTCTTAGACACGAAACTTTCCTCTTTCGACTCACTAATTTTTGAAAAACAATGTTTCCGGATCTCAGATTAAGAACCTGGATGAATGCCACATATCGAATAAAAGAACCACTAGCGTAGCTATCTCACATATAACCAGTAATCTCAACTGACGCCAATCTCTATTAACAAGTTTTAATAAAAATATTTATTTTTCAGTCACTTTACCTCCTGAGGGATCTTTTAGTTGAGGACTTTACAATTTTGGGACTATTGAAACGCAGTATTCGGGACCTCCAGTATTAATTGAAAAACAAAACCTCACCGAAATGGATTCAGAAACGAAAATTTATTACCTCAAAGCTTTAGAATTCAGTTGTGACTATCGAATTACAGTGACCAGTGCAGCAAGTCCAAAACTATAACTTAACGTTTTCATTTTTGTCTTAAGCAAATACAATTTTAACTGGTCGACGCGGGTCATTTTGCAAGTCCTCCGCAAGTGTATTATCTTCTTTGTATATTTATTTTTTATACCCTCCGCCATACATTGTATGGAGGGTATATTAAGTTCGTAATTTCGTTTGTAACTCATCGAAATAATATTTTTAGGCATAACAAAGTATTGATCCTGATCGCGTAGAATTTTAAGACGATTTAACAGTGATTGTTTAAGTAACAATACTTTCCAAGACTACGCAAGAGGAGGAACAATAAAGGAAACTATAATGGATAATAAACGGGCCATCAGACAATCAGGTCTATTTACACATACACACACGCCACCCAGTGCGAATTGTTATATCTGTCCCCGTTCATTGATTTTTAATGATTCGATGCGGTACATTCCTCATCGGCAACAAACTCCAACTGTAATTATCACAAAGCTTCAAGATTTTAGAATTTAGATCTAATTATCGAATGGCAGTGACCAATGGTAATGACCAGTCCAGAAAATTCACACTCACCAGCCATGTTAAGTAGTTACAGCTTTTTCCCATTATCTATTTTACTATTTATCAACTTTTTATTTTCTTTCTTATTTCAGGTACTCCTCATGGTTATGTTCCAAAATTACAAAGTTACAACACCCGACACTCATAAGCCCATTGAAAGCCTGTTGAACGTACGAGAGAGCTGTCACGGAGATAAGGCTTTTAAGGGCATTTTTCTAATTGGGAGTGAAAGTCCTTGAAGAAAATTTTATGGATGCACAATCTTTGAATATGTTCGGAGTTTTCCGGATAACAAAATATGGAGATGATTATACGAGAGTGCTGTTATGAATAGATCTTGACGATTTTTTTTTTCCGGGAGTCGAGGTTTTTTTCAGAGGTTTTAGTGATTTTCTTTGGAGAAAATGTTATGGGTAGAAAATTTGAGAACGTGTCGGCTTCTGTCTTTGGAAGATCTTAGATCTACATATTGAAGGCCGTTAAGAGATTGTTATCATCAAAATCATTTGAAAATGTAATTTCTTAGCAGAATATTTTTTTAGGAATCTTCAAATTACCATAAAATGTCTTCTTCAAATAATATACTGCTTCCAATAATATAAAGGTACCCGGGGAACTTTAACACATATTTTCCATAGAAAAAAATGCCATGTAAACTTTCAAAACCAAAAACCACTGACCAAGAAACGTCCCTCCCTGGGCTCCCGCGTCCAGTCTCAATAAGAAACCCGCTGAAATTAATTAGTAAAAGAAACGCAATGTATCACAAAGCTCGAAGATACTTGTATTTGGATCTAGATGTTATATCGAATGAGGAGGCCACCAAGCCTCTGGTAAATCTATCGGAAGCTGAGACCTTGTCCAGTATTAAGCTAGACTTCAGCTGCACAAGGTAAGTTCGGGGAGAAAGGAAACCAAAATTTTAATTCAATTTATTAATTGTTTAATATTTTTTACAGAAGACTCCGCACCCAAGGGAGCCCGTTGTGTGGAAATCATCAAAGACAGTCTTCTAGATGTCCCTGCTATACATAACATGACTAGTCTATATTTAGAAGACCTTCTATTTCCAGATGATATGTGGGAGTGGTCCTACAATCTAAAAACTTTTTAAAGGCATTTTCTTCAGAGGAAGTCCTTTTATGAACTTCTAGACATTCTGGGCACCGAACATCTATTAGAGGAATTCTAGCTAAAGAAGACTAAAGAAGAACCTTTCTAAATGTATTGTAGATTTAGAAAACATATCTTTAGACACATCTTTTTCTCCAGGAGACATTCTATGGACATTCTATGCCTACAAGACCTCCTTAAGGCCATCAACTTTAAGAAGATCCTCTAGAATTTCTATAAGCCTTCTGTTTTTAAAATAACTTCTCAAGAATTTAGAGGTCTTCTTTGGATTTCTTGGGCCATCAGTAGACTTGGGGTTTGAAATGTTGTCATTACTTTCAAGAATTTGTAGAAAGAAGTCTTGTAGAGACTTTATAAACATAAAATACCTTATGGAGTTCTTGTACACACAGAATACCATCTAGATGTTTTATATTCCCAAAAGACCTTCCAGAGGTCCATTATAAACCAACCTTCTGGGTCTCCTAGAGGACCTTCTAGAGGCTTTTTGAACAGAGGAACTCAGCTGGGCATTAAGATCATTCTAGAAACATGCTGGCCACAGAATAGTTGGCGAAAAATAATTTATAGAAGTCTTCTAAATTTTGACAATCTTCTGTTGTGGTCTATATTCAGGAGGCATTTTAGAGTTTTTTTTTTTCTTTGAGAGCGCTTCTATTCCCAGAAGAACTTCTAGAGGTCTTCTATAACAAGAAGACGTTCTAGAGGTCTTTTGGTCATAGGAGAACTTCTAGAGATCTTTTTGGGTAATAAAGAGCTGCTTGGAGGCATCGACACAGAATACTATTGTAGAGACTTTCTATGAATATATTACCTTGTATAAGTCTCACAAATTTAGAAAACCTTCTAAAGGCACTCTTGTCATGGTAGACCTTTTAGACATGATTTATATTCAGGAGAAGACTTTGTGGATCCTTCGCTTAGATTTCGAAGAACTTCTGGATACCTTCTCTTTCAAGTATACATTCTAGAGGCCTTTTGGTCTTCAAGAAATTTCCTTCACAATTAATTGAGGTTTTCCGGAGAGAGAATACTTTTTAGGGACTTTCTGTGTAATCCTTATAAAACCTTGAAAATCTTTAGGGGTTCTCTAAATATAGAATGCCTTTGAAAGGTCTTGTTTCACCTTCTAGCGGAGAAACGTCTAAAGGCCTTCTAAAGGCTTGTTAGGCAAAGGAACTGTACTATAGATTAGAGGGAGGGATTGCGAGGGATTTCAATGGCAAGCCCTAGGTCTTTTAGCGTGGATTTTTAGAAAACAATATTTTCAGAGAAAGCCAAGGTTTCCCAATAGGGATTTTTTGTCCAAATGTGGATTTTTGAACGATTTAAGATTTTTTTAATAATTATCTAGAGATAAATAGTTAAAAATAAAAAAAAAACAATTTTTTAATATTTTGCGTATATATATGAATATATATAATAAAGTTTTTATTTATTTCATATGATTATTGTTTTGTTTTTTTTAATTTTTATAATTGATATATAAATATATATGTATAGATAAAAAATGTATGTTCGTTGTTTTTGTGGTCAGGCATACATCATCGATTGTTATAAGTAAATATAAGTAATAATAAGTATTATTATAATAAAATATATATGATAATTGTTTAGAGATGAAATTAAAGTATAAGTAAGTTTATAAGTAGAGTATATATAATAAAAACTGTATAATTACTTTAAATAGTTTACAAGGTTTAAGGTTTGAAAATACGTTTTAAATCGATTAAAATAATATACACATATCCATTGTTTGTTTGTTTTTTTGTTGGTAGTTAAATGCAAAGTTAAAGCACAATTTTAGTTTTTTTTTTGTTTTGGGAAGATAAATTAATTTTTTAAGGCAAACTTTAAAAATGAATTTATTTTTATGGCTTTTTCTTTGTTAAAATAAAATAAAAAAGGTGTTAAAAAAATAAAATATAAATTAGAACAAATTTACAAAATTAAGTACAAATTATTTTGAATCGGTAACAAAATAATACAATTTTGAAAAAAATAAGAAAAAAAATTAAAACAAAATGAAAAAAATAAATAGTAATTTAAAAAATTGAAAAATAATTTAAAAATTACAAATTTTCCAATTAAAAATATTTAAAAATTAGAAAATATTTGTTTTTAATAAAATTTCTCCAACAAATTAATTTATTTATACACAATAATTGCACTTTTTTATTTATTATATATTTTTCTTCATACAATTAAAAACGTTTCTTTCTTTTTTTATATAATTTTAAATGCTTTTAAGTTTTCCCCAAAATATATATTTTTGTTATATATTTTTAAATATATATAAATTATATTTTTAAGCCATTTGTTTTAAGAATTAAGAAAAATAAAACTTGGTTTTATTTCTTATATTTTTGTTTTAAGGTTTAAGCAATGGCAAGAATTATTTTTTTTCAATAATTTTTTAATATTTTAAAAATTAATTTTTAATTGTTTTTACAATGTTTATGAAATTTATATTTTTAAAATTAAAAATAATTGTATATTTTTTGATTTACTTTCTAAGTAAATATTTAATTAAATAATAATAATAAGAAAACAAAAATTTATATTTATTAACATTAAAAACTAAAACTTAACGTTTTCATATTTTTTTTTCTTAAGCAAATACAATTTTAACTGGTCCCAAAGGTAACTGTTTCATGTAATTCCAGGCATCGACACGGGTCATTTTGGCCGTCGAACAGCCATTGATGCTAAGAATCTCATCACCGTTGCGCACTTGATTGGTTTTCTTGGCAGCACCGCCTAAAGGTAGGCAACAAACAAATAAAACTCATTAAAAATTGTCCAAATAATCAATTTTTTGTTGCAGAAAAATAAAAACATACCCATGAACACCTTTTTCACCACCAAAGGTCGGTTACCCAGGGGCGAATCGAAGCCACCCTCAATGGAGAAACCCAAACCACAGCTGTCTTTGATGATTTCCACACAACGGGCACCCTTGGGTGTGGATTCTTCTAAAAAACAGAAAAAATTATTAAATTTTTAAATATTTTTCACCTCCTTCCCCAGCCAACTCACCCTGTGCCCTAATTTCCGCCTGCAAGGCATTGCGTGTCTCCTGGGCCCTCTCCAACAATTCACTGGTGGAAATCTTACTAACATCCGGTCTAGACAGCTGACGTCTAGCTCTAATACTGGCCAAGGTCTCAGCTTCCGATAGACTCACCGGCGGCTGGGGACTGCTGCGACTACTCGAACTTGTGCTGGATGGTGTGTGTCGACTTGTCGGACTTGTGGCCTCCTCATTCGATATAACATCCAGATCCAAATCCAAAGATCTTGAAGCTTTGTGATAGTTGCGTTTCTTTTCGTAATCAATTTCAGTGGGTTTCTCGTTCAGACTGGACAAGGAGCCCAGGGAGGAACGTTTCTTGGTCAGTGGCTTGACAATCACCGATTCGGAACGTGTTACCACCAAGACAACTTCGGGACGAGGAGTCTGAAAATAGAGAAAGGAAGAGAAAATTGGATTAAAATTTGCTTCCAAAGGACTAAAGGGAGGAGAAAACCTCTAAGGGTCCTTCGATAAATGGAAGAGCCTCTAAGCTGTCTTTTATGGAAGATATTGTAGGTCTCCAAAGAATAGAAATCTATATATCCCTTAAATATCAGAAAAATATTAGCATCAATGTTGGTAAAAAAAGCGAAAATATTTCCTAAAAACCAAAAGCACATTTCATGGTTAATGTGAGTTTATGCCAAATTCTCCCATTAAACATTATTTTAGAAGAATGATGTTGAGGACAAAAATATTCTTCATCGAATTTCACTTTAAGTCACTTAAGACATAAAATCTCTATATCCATTATATATCATGAAAATATTTGCACCAAAGTTGCTAAAAAAAAGGGAAAATATTTTCTAAATATTCAGAACTCATTTTATGGTTAATGAAAATGTCTCCCACAAAACATCATTTTAGAAAAACGATACTAAAGACAAAATTATTCCTCATCGAATTTCACTATAAGTCACCAAAGAAGTGAAATCTCTATTTCCATTATATATCATGAAAATAATTGCCACTATGTTGCCAAAAAAATACTCTAAAATATTCCCTAAGTATTAAAAACACATTTTATGGTTAATGTGAGCATATGCGAAATTCTCCCACAAAGCATCATTTTAGAAGGTTAATATTAATGAGAAAAATATTCTTCATAAAATTTTACTATAGGTCTCCAAAGAAAAGAAATATCTATATCTTTTATATATCAAGAAAATTTTTGCATCAATGTTACCAAAAAATATATATATTTTTCTGATAAAAGTTCCCTCTGCCTTTTTTTGAATGGAAGCATGAAAGTAACATGAAATTTAGATTTAGACGGAAAGTGTTAAAAGAACAAATATTCTATACAAAATTTCACTACAAATTCCAGAGTAAACCATATTTCTATATTCAATACTTTTGAAGATATTTACAAGAGAACTTAATAAATTGTAATAAAAAAATTATGTTTTTACTTTTTATGCTGCCAATTTAACACGTTTCCAATTCTAAGTCAAAATCTCCCTCAATACTGCATTTTTTGAAGAAGGTGTCAATAGAGGATATATTCTAGACAAAATTTCAATATTAGTCTCTATAGAAAAGAAATCCAAATGTCCATTATATATGAAGAAAATATTAGCATCGGTGTTGCCAAAAACACATAAGATGTCTATTTTTTTGATAAAATTGTCCTCGATCTTTTTTGGAGTTGAGTCGAGAAAGTAACATAAAATTTCGTTATAGACAAAAGGTACCAAAAGAGGAAATATTCTACACAAAATTCCACTAGAAATCTCAGAGTAGACCATACATCTATGTCCAATAGTTTTGAAGATAATTGCAAAAGAAATGTATACATTTTAAGCGAAATACTATGTGTTAGCGTTTTTTACTGCTAATTGAACATGTTTCCAATTTTAAGTCAAAATCTCCCGATACATTTTATTTTTTGGAGAAAGTGTTAATGGAAGATATATTCTATACAAAATTTCACTATAAGTCTCTAAAGAAAAGAAATCCGTACTTCCATTATATATCAAAAAAAAATTAGCATCAATGTTACAAAAAAAAAGACTACAAAAATATTTTTTGAAAACATTTTCCTCGGTCTTTTCTGATTTGAAACAGTAAAGTAGAATAAAATTTATTTTTAGGCGTAAAGTGTCAGAGGAAGAAATGTTCCATACAAAATTTCACTGTAGATCTCAGAATGAACCATATATCTAGGTTTAATAGTTTTTAAGAAAATTACATTCGAAGTGTATATATATTTCAGGCGAAAAACTATGTGTTTACGTTTTCTACTGCTAATTCAACACGTTTCCCATTCTAAGTGAAAATCTCTCTTAATACTGCATTTTTTGGAGAATGTGTCAATAGAAGAAATGTTCTATACAAAATTTCACTATTAATCTCAGAATAAACTATTTACCTAGGTTCAATAGTTTTTAAGAAAATTACATTCAAAATGTATATATTGTGAGTGGAAATTATGTTTTTTGCTTCTAAATTACCACGTTTCCATTCTGAGTCAAAATCTCCCTTAAAACCCCATTTTTTGGGGAAAGTGCCTGAGAAGGAAATATTCTAGATCAAATTTCATTGGGAGTCTCTAAACAAATTAAATGTGTAAACTTAATATTTTCCAGAAATTTTTAGTAATATTTTACGGCAATTGTCTACAGAGGCTGGTGGCATTTTTTGAAGTATACTTTTAGGCAAATTATTATAAAGGCCTTAAAAACATTTCGAGATAATTTTTTCTTTTTAAGAAAGCCCTTACGATTCCCCAACTTACCTTTAGCACCGTTATAGATTCCCGATGTGTCAAACCGCGCATGCTCATGCCATTGACGGCCAATATGCGATCACCCTTCTTCAAACGACCATCCTTAGCTGCCGGGGTATTGGCCAAAATTTTGTGAATCTGAAAACAAAGATAATTAAAACTCGAAATTGAAAAAACAAAACCCCCCCTTTTCAACTCACCGTTATTTCCTTAGCTTCATAGTCCGAGCCACCGGCCAAGGTAATACCAATACTCGATTCCGGTGTGTCCCTTTGCAAAACGATAATAAAGGCTTCGGGTGTTTTAAGAGGTGGATCGGCTTCTTCGATTATTTGTTGTATATCTTGAGCAGTGATCAGGCTCTGATTGCTGCCAAGCGATGAGAAACTACCAAATTCGTTGGTGTTCTCTTGGGTCGAGGAGACATTTTGGGTGGTGGTGGAACTCACCCCCGACGAGGAGGAGGCTATCGAATCCAACGATGAGAAACGTTCATGATAACTGGTCGTCTGTTTCTGTTGTGACTTGACACTGAGCAGAGTGGTGGGTGTGTTCGTTATGGAGGAGGAGGAGGTGGTGGTGTTGTTGTTGGAGATCAGGGGGGAACTATTGCCATTGGCTGCAGCCGAGCGTTCAAATTTCTCTCTTATTTCGGCGGTGCTGATTTTCGGTGTTGTCTTGCTGGACAGGCTGCTGAATGTGGTTTTCGTATTGGTTTCGAATTTTTCGAAAACCGGTTTCAGGGTCCGCTCCGGAGTTCTGAGGGTCCGTGACTTGGCCACCTCAGTGTGCATCCATTGGCTGAGTTCGCTGCTGCCAGATTCTGGGGATTTTTTGCTCAATGGCGAAGTGGCCTCAACGGCCCTCTGGGGACTCAATGGCTGTACAGGCTGCGAGCTAATGGGAGCCACCACCTTGGCTGGAATGATGTTGCTGCTCTTCACAGGTTTGCTCACCGCTTTCTGGCTGGGATCAGCCTTGAAACTCTGCTTACGCTCCTCATCGATAAACATGGCACTGAGTTTAAGGGGCGAACTACTGTCAGCCGATTTGCGGCTGCTGTCATCCGTATCCGAGGTGATTTCCACATAGGCCGCCACATTGATGACCTTGTCCACCAGATTTTGATCTGTTTTCGTTACCAATTTATAGTTAATGGGGGCAGTGGGTGAGCCCGCCTTGGAGGGTAGGGTAATCAGCGAGGAGCTACTGGAGACCAGAGATCTGGGTTTGGATTTGTGATGCCGCCTTACTTCATCGTCGTCATAGCCATCGGTACTGTCCTCATCGTCATAGGGCCGATTGCGCATCAGGGCCGAGGTATCACCACGGCCATTGCGACACTTGGCCGAGGCCAAAATGTTTTTGCGATTTGTGGCCGATTCATTGGATCCAGATTTTAAAACTCGGCGACTAAGGTCCACGGTAGGGGTGCTGCCCACCGAGGAGCAACTGGCCTGGGAGCCGGAACCCGAGGTTAATGTTGAGGTGGTGGAACTGGCAATGGAGGTGTTCGTCTCCGAGGAAAGGGTACGGGTGAGGGCGAATTTCTCCGGCACCTGGGGCACACAGGGTGACATGGGTGGTGAGGAAATGCGTGAGGAGAACACCGAATCACAGGAATCACTTTCTTCGTGCAACATTTGTCGCGGTGTGGCCACCAGGGAGGTGCGTGGCGGTTTGGCTGGCGGTATGGTGTTGAGGGCCTCCATACGTCGCTGGGCCACCGAGGGTGCCATGTGTCGGGCGCCATTGCTGCTGTTCGTTTGAGACAAATAACTTCGGCTGCTGTTGTTGGCAATGTTGAGGCTGTTGCTGTGCGTGGAGACATTCAGCGGCCTAAGGGGAGAGTTCATCATCGAGGCAGAGGAGGAGTTGATTTCAGATCTTTTGGCTGGCCTAGGTAGGGGGTTTAGAACTCCACCTGCCCCTGATACAGAGCCCACACCACTGTCGGTGGAGTCTGTGGAGGACGTATTGCCCGAGGCCTTCATTTGATCACTGTCTCGACTCTTGATTTCCGGCAAATCCAAAATGGGTTCCAGTGGCACATGGGGCCTATCAGGTATTACCAAACCCCGCAGCTTGGAAAGACTACGTCGACGTTGCTCCAAAATGTTGGTAATGGCTGCCTTGCGTGAGGCCTCATCCGGCACATAGGCTGGCTGGCCGGAAAAGCTAATGCGCCTATCCAAATGCTGGGTGGAGGCATGGCGACGCGGCAGCGAGGCATAACTTTGGGTGTAATCGGAATTTATGGAGTTCAGGGATTGCAATGAGTCCGAGAAATTGCTCTGGGCCGGCAGTGGCTTGCTGAGCTGATAGAGCCGGGCAACATCATTGAGATTTTCCACACTCATGGCACGGGTCTTGTGTAGATTGGCAGAGCCCCTATAGGCGGGGGTGGAGCTATCCAGCAGATTTTCGGTACTCAAGTTGAGGGGCTTTGAAGAGCTGTTTGAGCGTGAAAAACTAATGGGTTTGCTGGTGGGTTCCAGGGGCTGGGCATCATCATTGGAAAACATGGCAATTTTGTCGCGCACACTTTTTTCGGATTTCTCATCTTTGCGCCAGTCGCTGGAGCGTCGGGGCACACTTAAGGAACGTTTGTAGTCTGGGCTGTCGGCCAGGCCAAAGGAGGGCGCCTCCAATTTGTGGGCAGTGGGTGTGGTACTGCCACTGCTGCTGCTGTTGCCACTGGAAAGGTTTTGGGTGGAACGACTGTTGCGGGTGTCGATGATAATTTTGGTGGGAGTCCCTGTGGCCACACTGATGGGATTGGTACGGGCATCCTCCACATTTACCACCAAGTCCTGGCGATATACCTTGCGTGGCACTGTGGGTGGTGGTGTGGACTTGGGTAGAGGTGGTGGCACCGTATCACTTATACCCAGCTCCATGGTCATGGGGGCCGATTTTTGTTTCTCCACCTCCACCACAGTTTGGGTAATGCCATTTGTGGTGGTACTGGTCATGTGGGTTGTCCGGCTGCTGGCCATAACTGTGGGTCCCACCTTGGAGGCAGCATATAGTTTTTCGGTATACACAGTGTTGTTGTTGCCTGGGCCAGCACCTTTTGTTGTTGTTGTTGTCATAACGCTTTGCATGAGGCTGGTGGTTTTAATGCCGCCGCCGAGGGTATTGGGCATGATTAAAGGTTCGGTGAAATTTGGTGGAAATTCATGGCCGTCAGGCGGCAGCCGAGAGTATGTGGGCGGAGATGTCAAGGTTAGGTAGTCACTGAGTGTTGGTGTCTGTGTTGGTGGTGGTGGTGGCATGACATGCAGGCCGTTCTCCATTTTGTTTAAATGTCGTTGTTCAAGATCTGTGTCACACGGCATGAGGTGGGGTGGTGGGCATGGTTGTGAGATTGGGAGAGACAAGAAAAAAGAACACACAAAAAACACAAGGTTAGTTAAAGGGTTAAACACTAAGGGGCGTGGTTTAAAAAAACTACATTTAATCTAAGGTTTTACAAATAATAGGAATTACAAAAATAATCTGAAAAAATAATAAAAAGAGTAAAAGAGAAATAAGAGAGTGAAAAGGAAAGAAAAAAATATAAAAATGAGAAAAAAGAGAGATAATTCTGAAATAGAGCTGATTTGGTTGGTGTCTAGGGAGGCAGAGTTAAGTTGGCTGTGAATCAAATGCGTTATTCAGTTTTTATACAAATTTGAAAAGGGAATTGAAATTTTAAAATAAATACTGAATTTTTTTCGAATTAAAAATCTCAAAAATTAAAATAATATTTTTTTTAGCAAAACTGTAATTTTGTTTCTAAAAGAAGTTCATCGGGTTTGTGTCCAAGGATGTGATGTTAAGTTGGCTGTAAATCAAAAGCCTTATTCATTTTCTATACAAATTTCAAAAGGGAATTGAGATTTTAAAATTAATTCTGAAAAAAAAAAAAATTTCGAAATAAAAATTGAAAAAAATAAAAAAAAAATATTTTAAATATTTTAATTTTTTTTGTAATTTATTTTGTAATTATTATCTACAACAAGTCCTTCGGGTTTGTGGATGTGATGATAAGCTGGCTGTAAATCAAAAGCCTTATTCATTTTTTATACAAATTTCAAAACGGAATTGAGATCATCATTTTTTTCTGAAAAATAAAATTTTTTTCGAAACCAAAATCGGAAAAATTAAAAAAAATATTTTAATTTTTTTTTGTAATTATTATCTACAACAAGTTGCTCGGGTTTGTGTCCAAGGAAGTGTTGTTAAGTTGGCTGTAAATCAAAAACCATATTCAGTTTCCATGTAAATTTTAATCAAAAAAGTGGTCATTCTATCAATGTCGAACTCCTATTTTTTCTCCGAATTTAGAATAGAAAAAAAATATATTTTTTACTCTGAAGAACTGAAATTATTTTTTTAACCCAGGTTATTTGGGTTCCGATAAGACGGCGATGTTAAGTTGGCTGCAAATCAAAAGCCATGGTTTGTGTCTAAGTTAACTGTGTTAAATTGCCTGCCCCTAACTTCAAAGCAATGTTCATTTTGTATTCATAATCGAACTAAAATCGAGGTCATCGAATCTACTTCGAAAATCTTTTTTTCACTAGAAAAAAAATTTAAAAAAATCCAATAAAAAATTATATATTTTGGTTTGCAAAAACGGTAATTATTTTCCATAATTGCCAGTCATTAGAAACCATTTTTGTCATTCATAAATTAAATATTTTTTTTTCGTTTTGGAAATTATCAATGAAACATCAACCAAAGAAGAAGAAGGAGAAAATGTATGTGTGTGTGTGAGTGTTGGTGTGCGGAAAATCCAATATCGAAATGTATGTCATGCCATATGGCAAACAAAAATAAAGATGGCATTAATAAAAACTGTAATATCTATTTAATAATAGGCTAATTAAATGCTTTTTTTATGAACATCTTGAAAAGTGATAGAGAAGAGGAGTGATGGAGGGGCGGTACGAGGGGGAGTGATATTCAATTTTTAAGATTTGCTTGATTACTCGAGAAAATGAATGAATGTAGTGGCACAATTTGCCAAGAGAGTTACAAAAGCTAGGAAATTGGAATGGTTTTGAGGATGATTTTTTGATAAATGACAACTTTATACAGATTTTTGGTATTCAGAAACTTATAGTGGAATTTGATGAGGAATATTTTTTCCATCGACAACAAACTGCTAAATTCAATGGTTAAGCGGCATATTGGCTTCCCTTTGGAATTAACCCCGAAAATGGGCAAGAATTTTTTAACTTAACATCAATTTGATATTGATATTTTCATGATATCTGTTATATGTACCCCAATTTTGATCTGAGGTAACCCATAGTGAATTTTGACGTAGAATATTTTTTTCATTGGCATCAAAGTACTAAATTCAACGGAAAAGCAAGAATTTGACTGTAGATCGAAATTAACTCCAAAATGAGCAAGATTTTTTTTAACGTTATATCAATTTGATATTGATATTTTCATGATATCTATTATATGTATCCCAATTTTGATCTGAGGTGACCCATAGTGAATTTTAATGCAGAATATTTTTTTCATTGACATCAAACTACCAAATTCAACGTTTAAGCGATATATTGGCTCCCCTTCAAAATTAACCCCAAATGGGCAAGAATTTTTTTTAAAGTAACATCAATTTGATATTAATATTTTCATCATATCTATCAAATGTACCCAATTTTGATCTGAGGTGACCTATAGTGAATTTTGATGGAGAATATTTTTTTCATTGACATTAATCTTCTAAATTCAGCAATACATCGAAAATTTTGCTTGTTTTCAAAATTATCACCAAAATAGATAAACAATTTTTTTATATTTCCCATTTAGTTATTGATTTTTACTTGATATATATTATATATACCGATTTGCGATCTGAGGTGACCTATAGTGAAATTTAGCGTAGAATATTTTTTCCATTGACGAAAATTTAATAACTTTGGCGGAAAAGTGAGATTTTGGCTAGATTCATAATTAATCCCCAAATAGGCAACAACATCTTTTTAATATACCCCAATTTGCTACTGCTATTTTTCTGATATATATTATATATAATGATTCGCGATCTGAGGTGACTTATAGTGAAATTTAGTGTAGAACATTTTTTCCATTGATAACACTTTCCTAACTTTGACGGAAAAACGAGATTTTGGCTTGGATTCGTATCCAACCCCTAAATGGGCTATTATTTCGTTTTAATATATCCCAATTTGCTGTTGGATTTTTCTTAATGTATCGCGATCTGAAGTGACTTATAGTGAAACTTAGTGTAGAATATTGTTTCCATTGGGAACAATCTTCTAACTTTGAGGGAAAAGCGATAATTGGGCTTGGATTCGTAATTAACCCCGAAATAGACATAAACTTGTTTATATACTCCAAAATTGTTATTGGCAGATTCTTGATATATATCATATATAGCGATTTGCTATCTAAGGTGACTTATAGTGAAATTTAGTGTAGAACATTTTTTCCATTGATAACACTTTCCTTACTTTGATGGAAAAACGAGAATGTGGCTTGGTTTCGTAATGAACCCCCAAAATAGGCTATAATTTCGTTTTAATATATCCCAATTTGCTGTTGGATTTTTCTTAATATATATCATATATATCGATTTTCGATCTGAGGTGACTTATAGTGAAATTTAGTATAAAATATTTTTTTCTTTGACGAACATATCTCAACTTTGACGGAAAAGCGAGAGTTTGGCTTGGATTCGTAATTAAAACCAAAAAGCAATCTTTCTTATTTATATATCCCAGTTTTTTGTAGGTATTATCTTGATATATATTACGTATTCCGACTTATAATCTAAGATAACTTATATTGAAATTTTATGGAGAATATTTCTTCCATTGACATTATCCAGCTAAACTTAAAATTTCCGGCTCAAATTGGAGTAAAGTTAACAATGACCACAAACAAATTTAATTTTTTATCCCAATTTCATATTGATATTTATACGGAATATATTACATATAAAAATTTCTTCTGTTTGGAGATCCATGGTAAAATTTGATGTCGAAAATTTTTCCCATTGACATTACCTTCTAAAATTGAAGATTTAGTGGCCTAGATTGTAGTTTGTTGAAAAAGGTGCAAAAATATCTTGGCAGAATGCATTTGCTTTGTTATACCAATTTCCCACTCGACTTATCTCGATATATATAATATCTACAGATTTCTTGTGCTCGGGGACTTATAGTAAAATTTGATGTAGAATTTAGTTTTCTTTAACACTTTTACGCTAAGATGTCGTTAAGAGGGTCAAATTGGCATATTTTGTAAGAATGACTAAAAAAATTCCCAAAAAAAGAGTGCGTGGAAAAAAGTTGCTTTATTTTTTGCCAATAATTATTATTTTTTTAAATAATTATGACTAGATGTAAAGTAGAATTTAATGTCAAATAGTAAAATATAATGTAAAATATATTTTTCATTGACACTTTTCCCCTAAGATGAAGTCATATTAGCACCTTTTGTGGGAAAGTCTTAAAATAACACCAAAAAGAGTGTTTGGAAAAATGTTAGCCTAAATTATTTTTAGTAATTATTAATTAATTTTTTTTATTAATTATGCCTAGGTGTCTTAAAAAATGTCATGTCAAATGATTTTCTGATCTTTTGGCCCTTAAAAACTTGTGATTTATTTGTGGTTTAATTATTTTCCACAACTTTAAATGATTCTTCTGTTTAGGACCCAAAAAGACCCCTACAACGAGGTGCTGGAGGATTAACACGTTCCACAAAAGTGTTCCTCATAAAGTTCTGCACAATATTGCCAAAGACACTAAGACGCTAAAATGTAAGGATTGCAAGGAATTTTAGATTTAAGCACCATACCTCATTATGCAGCCAATGAACAAAATCCAAAGCATACTTTCAGGCGTTCAATTATAATTACCCCACTTATTTGATTTTATTGCTTCCAATAACACAAACTAACAATTAAACGCCTTGGCAAATTCCATTAAACCCCCTAACCGCCAAATGTCAACAAATCAATGGCAAAACTAGAAATATTTGACAACTTAAAACCACCACCACCACCGCTGACTGAGTGGCGGCTAGATTTAAATAATTTATTTGACAAATCTAATCCAAAGATAGACTTATCCGCCACCACTACTGTCTGTCTGTCTGCCGGGTTGTCTTTAAATCTAAATCAAGAACAATTGAAATGAATTGAATTTTTGTTAACAATTTAACACAGCCAGCTAGCCCCAACTGTCCGACCCACAGTGTTTTAAATTAACCAAAAAAAAGAACACAGTCTGCATTCTGTCCCGGCAACAAATTGACAGTGATTTTTTTCAAATTTGACAGGTTGTAGAT